AGAGCCAGTCGGGGAAACTCAAAGCACGATGACGAACGTTTGCAGACGCTCCCCGCGGGTCCCCGCGCCGCCACCACCCTGCTCTTGGCGGGCCTCCCCAGCGTGTCGGGCGGCTGAAGAGGCAGCCCCGGCAGCGCCCTCCTCGGCCCGGGGCGCCGGCCAGGCCGGGGCTGCAGCCCGGCGGGAGGAGAGCGGACGGAGCGCGACCGGGGCCAGGCCGGGCGAGAACCGCCGAGGGCACAGCCCGAAGCGCGGTCGGCAGCACGCGAGGCTCCAAATTGGGCAAGCGGCGGACGCGGGTCTGCGCATGTGCAGGAGGCGCCGGAGTTTCACTTTGTAACTTTTAAGTGGTCGGGACGCCGCCCCGCCCGGCCAGGTCGCGCAGGCCACTGCCCAGGTGCGCTCGCCGCGCCGCCGCCGCAGGTAAGTGGGAAGGGGCGCCGCGCGGGGGGAAGTCGCCGTCCGCCCTCCCCGGGACGCGCGCGACGCGGCGCCCACTCCCGGGCGCCCCGCCGGGTGCGGGGTTCCCGGCGCGGCTTCTGGTTTCCACCGCCCCCACCCGCACGCAGGTGACTGGGGTGGGGTGGGGCTGCTGGGTCGGTCTGGGGGCCCGCGCCGCCCTTCCCGCCCCGCGCTCCCCGGACTTCCTGACGGCTTCCAGGACTTCTCCTTCGGGGCCCCAGCTCCGGGCTCTGCGGTCTGTCGGCGGGGTGCGGCGCCCCGCCCGCCTGGGAGCGCAGCCTTGGGGCTCTCCCCTCTCGGGCTCTGCGCCGCGAGGCTGGGCAGGGGCCCGGCGCGCGTCTCCGGACGCCGGGGGCGCGGAAGCCACCTCCGGCCGCCACTCCGTGACCGCTCCTGCAGCGCTGGCGGGTCCCGAGCAGCGGCCGGGGCCTGGGAAGGGGCTGGCGGGAGGGTGAGGGGGCTCTGCGGGGAAACCGAATCCGCCCGGTTCCCGCACCTGATCGGACTGGCTACCTGAGACCCTGGGCTGGCCTCCGGCTTGCAGCGCCAGGCGGTGTCCTCAAGGGCTGAGACGGACAGCGTGGTGGACCGAATGACTTCCAGGCTTCCTCCCAGCCCCGAAACTGCGGTTGTGTCCCAGCCGCTGTACTGTTGAGAGTTCCTGATTGTTAAGGCGAGCGATGGCGCCCACCAGTACAGGCTGCTGTGGGGGTGTTCTGGGGCCTTCTCTGGCCACGGACTCCTGCAGGGTTGTAGACACCCACTGGGGATAGGGGAGGACAGTTGTCCCTTACTGGAGAAACCACCATTTCCCCTCCCCCTCCTGCATGCTCTGCTGTCTTCCTCCTCCCCTCCTCCTCTGACACCTGTCCGCATGTTCTCACGTCTGCTGTGCTTTAAGGAGGACGTGAACAAAAGCTGAAGCCTCCTTTCCCCGTCACACACCCCTCTCCTTTGTTTAGTGTTGGGGCGAAGGTCCCTCCTGGCTGTTCATTGGGCTCCAACAGAGAAGACATCAGGCGGGGCCTGCCCCCGTGTTTCTCATTAGCTGGAGCGGTGGCTTAAAATAAAAGCAAACAGCTTTTGGTCACTGAGGAGGGCCAGGTCCTGGACTGAGTGCTTTGCAGGCGTTGTTTTGAGTCTGTGTCTCCCAATAGCCCTCAGAGAGAAAGCCGTCACCCCCACTTTATGGAGAAGGAAGCCAAGGCACAAAGTGATGAAGCCACTGGTCTAAGCTGCGAGGTGCTGAGACCCTAATTCCCGAGCCTGTTCACGAACTGCTGAGCAGCCCTGCCTCTCGTTTTACCCAGATGTCGTATCATCTCTTTGGTTTCCTGGTGTTCCTGGTGTGTCTGTAGAGGTAAACAGTTGTCCAGGTTCCTGGGCTGTGTGTGGTGGTGCCATAAGAGAAGTTTGTGCTTACTTTGCAACCTTGTTCTGCTTCTGGAAGAACAGAATTAGCTCCTGAGGCAGAGGCTTGGAGCTGCCTGTAGTCTTGCTGTATGCTTGGTAGCTTTGGTGATGACAAAGGTACCTTGGATTTGTATGGGGCCTTGGTGTAAGAGCCAGCAATGTTCAAACACTTCCTGCAGCATTCTGCTGGCATTTCTGGAAAGAAGGCGAAGAGGTAGTCAAGTCTGCTGCAGGGGCCAGTCCCTGCTGCCAATTTAAGCGGGCAGAGGATTAGCATGGGTGGTTTACTTCCTTGGCAGAAAGTTCAAGACCAGCTGTTGGTTTCAGCCCTACCCATTGGCTACAGCCAGCCTCTTGGGTGCACATGGGCTGAACTTTGGTTTGGGGGCCTGAGGTCATCTGCTGGTCACCCTGGCTTCTGGGACTCAGCAGTAATTCTTGGCTTTCCTGCCCTCAGTGTATTGTGTAGGAATGAGGTGATGAATAGAGAGTTTCTGGGAGGCGTGTAGATAAGTGCTAGACGTTTGCCTATACCTGGGAGGACTGAATATTGCCAAGGTTCTTGGCCAGGCAGGGCTACTGCAGCCTCCATGCCAGTTTGGCCGCTGTCCCAACACTGCCTAGCATGGCTCCCTTGGGGTGGCTCTGTTCCCAGCTGCCCTCTCAGAGCGTGTCTGTCTGGGAGGATGCAGGGGGCTGCACGCTGAGAGCCAGAGGGACCGAGATGTTTTAGCAGGATCTGGACTTTATGTGTCTAATGGACAGGGACAGGCTGCGACTGAACTGAAGGGTCTCAGAGAAACTGTGGCACCCACAGCTGTGCCGTCACCTGGGTGCTCATCCTGGGGGCACCTGGCCGAGGGCATCCCAGGAGGCTGGCCCAGGCGGTGGAATTTGCTGGCCAGACATCCACAGAACCACCCCGAGCCTGTTTGGCAAGAGGAAAATGACCTGGAGGCGTGCCTGGGGCTGAAGGGGGAAGAGGAGCCTCCAAGTTCCTTCCTCCCCTGGGCCTTCCTGCTTCTCTATGACCCTGAGGAGGGTGTCCCCACCCCAGCAGCAGCACTGCACCCTCCCCTTTTCGGGGACAATGCTCCCTCTGTGAGCATTTTATGGGGATGTTTTTTCTTTTGACTTCACTTTCAAGCCTTCCTTGTTTATTCTGCTCTGTTCCCTTGTCCTGATGCTCGTTCTTGCGGGGCTTTGGGGAGCCCACAGCCACCCATGCCTCTGTGGGAGTGGCCCCAGCAGGGCCTCGGGCCATTGCAGGAGAGGGTGACACTGGCTGAGGAGACCGGAGTGGCGTGGCACACAGGAGCTCTGACGGATGGGGACCAGTCTGGGAGTTCGGGGAGAGATCCAGGGTGGGAGGGAGCCCCCTGGGCAGAACCCAAAGCTCTGTGTGGGCATTCGGGTTCAGAGACCTTTGGGCAGGCGTGAGTGCGGGCGTGGTGTGCTGAAGGGTTTTATCCAGACCTCAAACTGGAAAAATGCAGCTCCCATGTGACATTGAGTATCTGTGTTCCTTCAGGAAAGTCTGTAAAGCTGGTGCCCCAGGACCCTGTGGTCAGGAGAGCTTTGCAGGAGATGAGTGCCGGGCTCCAGGCCTGGCCCCCAGCAGCTGGGGAGGTGCCAGGGCTGTTTCTGCCTTTGCCAGACAAGCTCAAGTGAGGCCCTCTGCACTGGGCCATCCACAGTCCTTCCCTCCCTGGCATCTGGTTAGTGTGTGGACAGGAAGGAGGGGCAGGTATTGGCCTCATACTGTCGGACTGGGGTGTTCCATTGGGGTGGTGCCACTGGGTGGGGTTTAAAGGGAAGCCAGGAACATCCGTGTCACAGAACTGGCTTTCGTGACTGTTCAGAGCCACCGACTCCATGGCTCTGGCATCACAGTCTCCCCTACCTCTGGCCATTGCCAAGTCTTATATTGGGGTGAGAAAGTGACTTGGCCTTCTGGAGAATGCTCGCAGGCCTTTGGGCCTGCCATCCACCCTTTCTGCACTCTTGCACTTCCTGTCATGTGTGTGTGTGTGTGTGTGTGTGAGAGAGAGAGAGAGACAGGCAGACAGAGACCCCAGCACTGCAGTCCCAGGCGCAGAATTGGGACTCACCTCCCGACAGGCACCCCACTGCACCACTACCAGGCAGTCCAGACATCTGTTTGGGTTCTCCAAAGTTTCTCTCCTTGTCGCTAAGATTTTTGTCCCTGTAACAGGTAGAAAGACCAGACTTGGCAGATGTTCCCTGGGAATTGTAGTTCAACCAGATCTGGGGAGGCAGGTGCTTAAGGAGGGGGGTGAGCGTTCCCCTGGCCCTTCAGCCACAGATAGTGCGAAGAGCAGGCCAGACCCTGGGTGCAAACTACTCCTGGGCCTTTGGTGTCCGGAACAGATACTGGAGAGTTCCATTAGCGTTGCCGGGGATGGCAGCAGCCTGAGGAATGGAAGGTCAGCAATCCAGCCTGGAGCCATGTGGACCTTCCAGTTAGACTCCCTCCCCCTCCCTGTCCTGGACCACCTCCTCCCCTTCTCCTCAGTCTTCTTATCCCCACCCCCTTGGTTTCTCAACTGACTCGCAGCCAGGGTTGTGAGGTGCGTGGCACAGTGAACAGTGAACTGGCATCTGGGAGTTGGGAGCTGGGTTCGGGACTCAATTTTGCCCTGAATATTTCCTTAACTTGGGGAAGGTTATTAAACTCCTGAGCCTCAGTTTCCAAGTATATCAAATGGGACCCCGCCTCTGAGGTCCCAGCTCTGACAGTCTGTGAACAGCGGGAACCAGGTCTCATCTGAGGCTCACGTGGGGGGCCATCGTGCATATGTGAATGTTCCCTTCTTCCCCATTTGTTTGACCTGTGTCACCGTCCTCTCTGCATTGGTGCCCCTTTCCCCTCTCCCCTGGCTGTAGTCTAGATCTCCCAGTGGCGCCTTGGGAGTTGCTTTCCCAGCAGGGGTGCTTGAGGCTCGAGGAACTTCAGGATTTCTGAAACTAGCGGCCGCAGCAGCTTCCGGCGCCCCACTTCTCCAGTCTCACCCCCTCTGGGCCGTCTGCCTGCTGTGTCCGGATGAGGCATCTGCTCCAGCCATCTGACCCTCTGGGACTGTTTCCACAATGGAGCCTTTCTCTGTGACACTGCCAGGCACGCAGGGTGCGGGGTCTGGCCCTCCCCGATCCTCGCTGCCGGCTCCCTGTGCCCCGCCAGTGCCCGGGGCAGATACCTGCCTTTGGCTCTGTCAGTGCTGGCTGGGAAACTGCAGGAGAATTTGAGTCCTGACCATCCGCCTTGTCCTGTCTCCAGGGAAGACAACCATGATGACCGACTCCCCATTCCTGGAGTGGTGGCCGTCCAAGGCCATGTCCTCTCGCGAGCGGCTGGGCCTCCGGGACCGGCCCAATGACTCCTACTGCTACAACTCCGCCAAAAACAGCACTGTGCTCCAGGGGGTCACCTTCGGGGGCATCCCCACTGTCCTGCTTATAGATGTCATCTGCTTTCTGGTAAGAACTCTCGGGAATGACTTCCGCTCTTCTCCCTTTCTGGCCCGCCAGTTATTTGTTTAAATTCCCACCCAGGGCCTTCCAGGAAACCCAGGTGAGGACTCAGCCATACCTGGGTTTAAAGCCCGACTCAGCTGCTTACCAGCTCTGTGACCTTGGCATGTTACATAGCTTATGTGGGCCTCAAATTTCTGCTCTGGAGAATGGAGATGACAATTCCTACCTCAGGGAATTTTGGAGAATGTTGGGCAAGGCCGTGCGTGTGAAGAACACACATAGCTGCGCCTTTTTTTTTTTTTTAAATTTTTTTTTTGAGGCAGAGTCTCGCTTTGTTGCCCAGGCCAGAGTGAGTGCCGTGGCGTCAGCCTAGCTCACAGCAACCTCACACTCCTGGACTCAAGTGATCCTACTGCCTCAGCCTCCGAGTACCTGGGACTACAGGCATGTGCCACCGTGCCTGGCTAATTTTTTCTATATATATTTTTAGTTGGTTGATGAATTTCTTTCTATTTTTAGTAGAGATGGGGTCTCGCTCTTGCTCAGGCTGGTTTTGAACTCCTGACCTCTAGCCATCCGCCCGCCTCGGCCTCCCAGAGTGCTAGGACTACAGGCGTGAGCCATTGCGCCCGGCCGTCCCTAGGGTTTTTAAAGAATCAGAAGCTGACTCTCAGAGCTGACCCTCAGCAGGTGGCCTTTCTTTAATGTAGCTCTCCTTGTTCACAAAAATGCCCCCAATTTGAAATATGTCATTGTTCCTGCTATACGGATTCAACATTGGCTAGTTGAGATTTACTGAGGTCAGAGTGCATCTTCTTTTCACAGTGCTCATGATGGCCAGTCCTGGATGCCGTCTCCTAACGAGTAGCAGAGGCCGTGTGAACGAGTGGGGGCAGAGGGGGTGGATGTAGTAGACACTCTGGGACTGCTTGGGGCTGGAGGCTAGGCCTGGGTAGGGAACCTGAGGAGGGACAGTTAGGGTAGCATGAGGGCCCCAGTCCCTGGGAGGTGGGGAGGGAGAGTACCAAACACAAATTTGTTGGCACCAAAAATGTTGATGGAAACGGAGGAGAGTATTCTCCTTCTTCCTGCCTAGGATTAAGATCTCAATTGTTGCATTAGAGTCTTGCTACATTGTTGGTTCTTTGTGGCCGGTGTGGGAACCTGCATGCTATTCACTTTGCTTTCGAGAAAAAAAGCTCTTTTAAGTACCGAATAATCCATTTCTTGGAGCCCAAACCCATTTGTAAGTGGAGAACACCATCATATAGGCCAGCCTTGGTTGAGAGGAAGGACTAGGCAGGAGTATGGGGCTGGATTTTGATTGCAGAAAGTTACGGGGGTTGGGGGGTACACAGAAGACGAGAGGGTCCCGGCGAGCATGGATGTGTGGGAAATGTCCACACTGCACGTACCAAGACAGCAGCCGCGTGGCAGGGAGGGCAGGTGCCTCCTGAGCAGGCTCAGTGTTTTTCCTGTAACGTGACTCACCTGCCTTTGAAAATATATCACCAACCCCCTGATTCATCCTGAGAAACTCAGTGCCTATGGGGTTCCAGTCCTCTGGATTTCCTTCGGGAAGACACTGGGGTTTCACAGGTGTCTGACCAGAGCAGGCCGGGCGGCGTGCTTATTAACATGCGTCGCTCCACTTCCCTGAGTCTTGATGGCAGGGAGCCCATCCAGGGAGCCTGTCTCCACTTGCTGCGGCCGAGCCAGCCCGGAGCCCTTGCTGGGCATTGCTGCCCACGTGCTCTGTGCTATGGGTCCAAAGGGGTTGCCTTCAGGTGAGCCAAACTCAAAGTAAAAATCTGACCATTTCTGGCTCAGCCTGGGGCGGCTTTGCTACCCTGGTTCTGTAAATAAAAATAAAATTCAGCCATGTGTGGTTGCTCATGCCTGTAATCCCAGCACTTTGGGAGGCCGAGGCTGGAGAATTGGTTGAGGCCAGGAGTTTGAGGCTAGCCTGGGCAACATAGTAGGACCCTGTCTCTACAAAAAAATATAAAAATTAGCCAGGTGTGGTGGCACACACCTATAGTCCCAGCTACTTGGAGGCTGAGGCTGGAGGATTACTTGAGCCCAGGAGTTTGAGGCTGCAATGAGTAGTAATTATGCCACTGCATTCCAGCCTGGGTAATAGAGTGGAACCCAATCTCTAAAAATAAAAATAAAAGGAAATTGTAAGTAAAGTGAAGAAGGAAGCTAGTCTCCAGGGCTGCTGTGAATTCAGATCTTGCCTTCCTGCTCAGGGGCTGCTGAAGGAAGATCAGAGCTGAGATGAGACAAGGCCCTTGCGGGGTTGACACGGCCTTGAGAGCAAGGGAATGGGTGACGTGCAGGACTAGCAGGGCTGCGGGCAAGCCTGGCATCAGTACTACCAGCCTTGGCAGCTGGGGCACAGGGGACAGGAGCTGGTGAAGGGGCTGAGCAAAGCACTGGGCCACTGAGCCGGCGGCCCTGGGCAGCTCGGGCCTTCCTGGGCCTGAATGATTTCCTTCTAGCACTGCGAGTCTGGGCAGGTGGGCCGTGGCCCTGAGGTAGCTGTCTCTTCTCATTAGAAGCCATCCAATATGCTTTTACTTGGTTTCTTTTCTACTTCCAGCTTTTAATCTTGGTGTTTTCCATCATAAGAAGAAGATTCTGGGATTATGGCCGCATTGCCCTGGTGTCAGAAGCAGACAGGTAAAGAAGACACATTGCTTAGCATGTGTGCATGTGTGTGCAGATGTGTGAGTATGTATATATGTATACGTGTGTATATGAGTGTGTGTATGTATGTGAATGTTCATGCGTGTTTGTGTGTCGCTGGAATGGGCTGGGCTAATGACCCTCTGTGTGGGCAGGGCCCGCGTGTGACGCTCATATCAGATTGTGTTCGTTGGCTGTGTCTGCCAGGCCTGTACCCGAAGCTGTGTTCTCTGCGCCCTCACCACGCCCACGAGGTCAGCCTGGTTACCCTCACTGTGCTCACAGGAAGCCAAGGCCGGCCGTGGCCGTGAACCGTGCTGGCTGCAGGCTAGTTGCTTTAGATACGTAGGGCTTGCATCATCGGCTAAGGAGGATGCCCTTTTTCTTTCTCATCTTGAATATTTTTGAGTGTACTGTCTTGAAGTCCGTTAGCCTGGGGCCAGGGCTGGGTGAGGTGGATCAGGAAGGCAGCAGAGCCCTGGGGGAGCGGCCTGGCCTCCCTCGGGGTCAGAGCCGGCTTTATGAGTTCATTACAAAGCCAGGGCTCGCTCAGCCAGACCTTGGGTCCTTCTAGTTCCACCCTGGGCTCTGAGGGCTCTCTGTTCATGTCACATGGAGGGTGAAAATGGATTCTAGATCCGCACGAGCAGGTGTTCCAGCTCCGGCTGGCTGTTCACACCCCAGGATCTTGTGTCAGATGCAGCAACAGGGGTGAGTGGGCAGGACTTGGGCCTCCCAGGGCTTCACCAGGCAGCCCCGCGCTCTCATGGCCGCCGTGTGCGAGGGGGCTGTCGGCTGAGGAGAGGAGGTGTACGGGAGTGCACCTTCCTTCCCCATGGTCTCTGCTCTGGCACTTTCGGAAGCTCGAGGCAATGACCCTAGACCACTGGGGAAAACCTTTTGGGACGTCTGATGCCTTTACAGCATGTTCAGCTTGAGGGAGGGCCATGTACTGCAATAGAAAAGAGCACTGGGGGTCAGGAGGCCCTGCCACTCGTCTGGCTGTGTGATCTTGGTCAAGTCCTCACACTTATTGGGGTTGGTGTCCTGCCATCTTTTCCCCACAGGGTTACTGTGAAGGACAAATGACAGTGTCTCTGCAAATGCTTTGAAAGTTAACTTTCATTATGTTTGATGTCATTAGAAGTGGGATGGTGGGGCCAGGAGTAGGAAAATAGAAAAAAGCAAAAATTCACATATTGCAAATGCTTCAAATTCACAGTGAACAGGGTGTTTTGGGGGGTACTCAGAAGAAAGAATGTGGGACAGGTATGGTGGCTCACTCCTGTAATCACAGCACTTTAGGAGGCCAAGGTAGGAGGATTGTTTGAGCCCAGGAGTTCAAGACCAGCCTGGGCAACATGGTGAGACCACTGTCTTTACAAAAAAAAAAAAAAATAGCAGAGCATGATGACACTCCTCTGTAGTCCCAGCTACGTGAGAAGCTGGGACAGGAAGATCACTTGAGCTTGGGCATTCAAGGTTGCGGTGAGCTATGAGTGCACCACTGCACTCCAGCCTGGGCAACAGAATGAGACCCCATCTCTAAAAAAATTTTGAGAAGAAGAAAGGATCTGATTCAAATGCCACAGTATAAAATGCTATAGTTTGTCAACTCTAAAATACCCATTTTGGTATTTTCTAGTCTCTGAAATTGGGGTGGGTCTTATTATCAATGGTGGCCATAGTTTAATTGGCAACGTTTTTTCTTTCTTAGTGATTGATAAAATAATTTTGTACTTTACAACCAGTGGTGGCTTAGAGTTGATAAATACAATATTTATCCCAAGTTTTATTTGATATATAATGAAATATGTTGTAAACCGGCAACACTTTGAAGTCGTTTTTGGCAGACTGTCACGTGCTGAGGAGTGAGGGTATGGGCACAGAGGTGGGCTGTGCCTGTCCTGAGCCCATTCACTCCGTATAACCTCGAGTGTCACACCATGCCTGGGAATGGCTATCCTCCTCGTCTCTAGTTTTCGCAGAGTAAGTTACATTTTCTCCGTGCCATTGAGGATTGGTAGCTTTGGTCCTGAGCTCTAAAAGACAGCAAAACACCGGACATAATCTTTTGACTTTTTACAAAATAATTATCTGTCATTTTTTTCCTTTTGTGTCTCTAGTGAGTCCAGATTTCAGAGATTGTCATCAACTTCCTCCTCAGGGCAACAAGACTTTGAAAATGAGCTGGTTGGTATCTAAGGGACAGTCGTGGTTGTGGCTGGGATGGGGACCGGCAGTGATGATGGGGGCAGGGAAGTCACGCTCCTGACTCAGCAGCTCACTCAGTGCTGCCGGTCTCAAGTGGCGGGTGCTGGGGAAAGCTCTGTATCAACAGGCTCCTGAACTTGGGAAATACTGTAGGCAGGTGGATAGTAAGACTCGAAGAACTCACAGGCAGAGGGGCCATGGAATCCCCAGACTTTCTTAGCACTCATCTCTCTAATCACACTTCGGTTTTGTATGACAGTTAATTATTGACTTGCCTGCCAGATTATGAATGGAACATGGGCAGGAGCCCTGCCCTATCCAGCCCTGTTCCCCAGCACCTGATACCTAGTGCTTATCATTGTGCTTATCATTGTTGAGTGCATGATGAACCAATATTTGTCTTTCCAAGCTGGGTAACAGCCTGGCTTTAGGGAGTGTTAAGTTTAAGAGAAAGAAGGACAATAAAACCCACAGACACCCTGGTCCCCTCTAACTCCTGCTGCAGGGGGCTGTCCAGTCAATTAGGCTTATGTCCTCTCTCTTCCCACCTCTTAGTCATGTTGAACCAATCAAACAAAAGCCCACACTACTTTCTCCAGAGCTGCCCTGAGCTCTCATCAGCTCTTGATCCAAGTTTTGTGATTGGACCGTGACATTGCCAAACCTTGAGAGGTTTTAGCAAGAATTCCAGGTACAGGGTGCATACTGCAAAAGATTGGGAACATGTGGACTCTGTCCTATTTGGGACAAGAGAGTAGCTTGCTGAATAGGGGACAAAAGCACTGTTTTTATGCAACAGAAGGTTAAATGGTTATTTAATGTCAAGACAATGATTACATCTGCCTCCCAAAGACACAGATGTTGGAAGCCAATCTCTGTTCTCTCTGTTTGCAGGGATGCTGCCCCTGGCTGACGGCTATCTTCCGTCTGCAGTGAGTACGCCTTGCACCTTTGTTTGGCTGGTTCGTTTGGGTGTTTGGCCAATGAAGAGCCAAGATGCTTAGTCCTTAGAGGGTGTCTCCTAGATGCTTTTTAGTTCAAGTTCAAAGCGGTATGTGGTGGCTGAGAATAAAGGTGGCCCAGACAGCCCCTGGGGTCAGGGACACTGGAGGAGGAGGCCTCTAGGATGGAGGCTCCATGCTGGAGGGCACACATGCTGGGGCTTCCCACAAGGTTCTTGAAGGTGGCAATGAACTTCATTCGTTTCAACATATTCAGTGGAAATCATATGTTCATCTTTCATAATGCTGCACAAGCTAATTAAACCTATTTTTTTTTTTTTTTTGCTTTAGGCAGGAATTATTCTACTTAGTATTTAACATTAATTAGATGTGGGCGGAAGCTCTTCTAAGCAGGTTTACATGTCTTCGAATCAGTGAAAAGTGAAGAAATAAAATACGTTCCCCTCATTTGGTTAAAAGAGTCTCTGCTCTGCCCCCACTGCCGTGTTCCATGGACTCTAAGGACCCATTGCTGTGAGAGGCACATTATTTTAAGAACAAGAAAATGCTGCCAGTTAAGCTACCATCAGCTATAACTGTAGGGTGCACCCCATTTCAGAGGTGTTGAAATATGAAACGGATATCTTAGAATCAGTGAAATGCAGTGCTTGAATAAGTCCTTGTCTCTGGGCCTCAGTTTCTCCAACTATAAAAGGAGGCTGAGGATAACACACACTTGGCTTAATTCAGAGGAACTAACACATGTGAGAGCATGTTGTAAATGGGCAGGTTTGGCAGCAGCTGCTCCCAGGGGAACTGGCCAGAGGCAGAGGCCTGTGGAAGAAGTCTGTGAGCTCTGGTGTGCAGCAGGAGAAGCAGGGGAGGGAATGTATGTAAAAGTGAGAGCAATGTAGTTAATGGCAAAGCTTTGTCCTCTAGATAAATAGTCAACAGGACTCACATTCGCACGCGTCCTTCTGAGCACCCACTGGTGCGTGCGCAGCATTAAGGTTTGGTCCTCACCGGCTCTGTGGAGCCCCTGCTGAGCTGGGGAAGGAGGAGGTGGGCAGTGTCCTTGCTTGAGCTCAGATGCTCAGGTAAGCCATGTGACCTGCTGCCAGGTAGAGGCAGCTGAGCTGGATTTCACCGTGGCTGTCTGACTGCAAAGCCCACGCTGCTGTCTTTCAGAGCTGCCTTTTTTTTTTTTTTTTTTTTTTTAATGAGACTGAGTCTCACTCTGTTGCCCGGGCTAGAGTGAGTGTCGTGGCATCAGCCTAGCTCACAGCATCCTCAAACTCCTGGGCTCAAGCAATCCTCCTGCCTCAGCCTCCCGAGTAGCTGGGACTATAGGCATGCACCACCATACCTGGCAAAGTTTTTATATATTTTTAGTTGCCCAGCTAATTTTTTCTACTTTTGGTAGAGACGGGGTCTTGGTCTTGCTCAAGCTGGTCTCGAACTCCTGACCTTGAGCGATCCACCCACCTCAGCCTCCCAGAGTGCTAGGATTACAGGCGTGAGCCGCCGCGCCCGGCCCCAGAGCTGCCTTTTTAATAGCACTGAGCTCTGGCCAGTGCAGTGCTTTCCTGGCCCTCCGGAAGCAGGGCCCTCGGGAGAGTGGGGGAGAGCAGAGCACCTGCCCTTCTCCTTCTGTAGCAGGGAAGTCTGCTGTCTGAACCCTGGGTTTCTGGGTGCCCAGTTGACCCAGAGCCTCCAAGTATAGCACTCGGAGGGTGGGAAAGGGTGGAGCAGGTCACCTCCCTATCTCTGGGGCCATGGCAGGGACACAGCGAGGAGGCGGGGGCAGTAGGACAGACTGAGACTTAGAATGTGTGAAACCCTGGCTCCACCTAAATCCCCCAGCCCAGCTGAGGGGGAGATGAGAGAGGAGGGCTGGGGCCAGACGCACTCCCAGCTGCATTCCCGACGGGGTTCCCAGCAGCCGCCTCGTGACAGAGCAGGAGGAGTGTGACGACTGTGTCCGTGCACCTCACCTGTGCACATAAGCACAGCTTGGGCACAGACGTTTCTGGCAACATCAGGCGGGGTGGTGCAGTTCCTTTGCCCAGAGTGTGATGTAGGGGCCGAGAGGGTGGGCTCTGGAATTCACGTCCTAGCTCTGCTCCTGTAAGCTGTGTGATCCTGAGAGTTACGCAGTTTTCCTGTCCCTGTATTTCCTCATACGTAAAAGAAAGCGCGGGGATAATGAGCGAACCACTGCAGGGACTGTGGTGAGGTTAAGTGGGGGCCGGGCCTGTCCTGGGCTCACACGACTCCGCGTGTCTCGGCCAGCGACGACCAGATCCTGGAGTGGTGTGGGGAGGACGCCACCCACTACCTGTCCTTCCAGAGGCACATCATCTTCCTGCTGGTGGTGGTCAGCTTCCTGTCCCTGTGCGTCATCCTGCCCGTCAACCTCTCGGGAGACTTGCTTGGTAACCGCCCCCTGGTCCCTGTTTGCGTGGGAGGCAGAGCAGCAGTACCGGGACAGGGCTCGTGGGGAGGGACCCCGGGAGTCACGCTCCAGCTCAGACGTGGGAGGGTCTCAGGGTGACTTCCTGAACTTTCCCATCTGATTGGGATCCAGAGAAGGATCTTCCCGAGCCTGGGCCCCTCATGCCAATTTCAGATTCCAAGTAAGAGGAAACACCTCCTAAGCTTTATAGAAACAGGAGCTTTCAGAGAGAGTTTTATACTTTCCCGCATTCTCCCAAATCAGGGGTCACACTTAGTAGGCCCAGAATATGTCTGATTCAGTGAAAATCAGAGTGTGGCCTCGTATCCGGGGGCAGCCGCGGGAACGCAGCTTCCAAAGCGCCGTCTTGAGTCTGCTTGCGACGCCCACTGAAAATGCCTTGGTTTTAGTGACAACGTAGAAGGTTTTTAGTTTTCTCAAAGCGAGAGAATTCAAATTTGGACTTCACCTGCAGGGTGAGGGGAGAAGTTACCAGGGAGGGTCTTGGAGTCAGGTGGAGGCCTCGGCGGCGCAGCTTGGAAAGGCCGGGCCGGGCGGCCTGCGCTCCCCCGGGAGGTCCACGAGCCAAGCCTGATGAGACCCCTCCTGCTGCCAGTTGCCACCCGGAACTAAGTGTGTGTGCTTCTCTGCAGACAAAGACCCGTACAGTTTTGGGCGGACGACCATAGCAAACCTGCAGACCGAGTGAGTGTGGCGCGGGTAGCAGGGTGCGGTGAGGCCGGGAGGAGGCGATTCCCGAGCCGGGGCTGGGCCGGAGCGGGGGCCAGCGCCCGAGAGCCCCCTGCGGCCGCGGCGTTGCTGGGCCGTGGGCACGGGCACGCCACAGGCAGCCGCTGTTTTGTGGGGGGATTTGGTGAAGCACAGGGGACTGTGGACCTGAAGCCCGCTGTCAGGGCAGGAGGGGGACCTCTCTGAAGTGTTCACTAGGGGCCTTGGGCGCTGGCCACTTGCCTGAGTGGGTGGATCTGTTGATGAAGCCACTGACCGCCAGCCCATGCCCACTGAGGACAGCCAGCCCCTGCCCGGCCCCGCCCTGATGGCCCGCGTCTCCCCTCAGCAAAGACCTGCTCTGGCTGCACACCGTCTTCGCCGTCATCTACCTCCTCCTCACCGTGGGCTTCATGCGGCACCACACGCGGTCCATCAAGTACAAGGAGGAGAGCCTGGTGAGCGGCCGGCAGGCTGGGGCCTGCCCGGCTCCTGCCCAGGGACGGCCCTCTGGCGTGTGGCTCGCATATTCATTTTCTTCCTTTTTTAAAATTTCCTGGTAGATCGTTTTAAGGTTTGGACATTTCCTGCTCCTTCTGCCAGCTTGCCCTTTGACTGGCGGGGTCTGGGCCTGCAGCCGCAGCCGCTGGTGCTATGGAGAGAGGAGGTTCGGGTTGGGAGCAGTGCCTCCCCTTTGCACCCCAGCTTGGCAGGGGAGGGAGTGTCTGTGACTTGGTTCCAGGCCGGAGTCCTCCTCTGAGGACCCCCACGTGACCCCCATTTCAGGTTCTTTCCCCTGTTTAGGTCCTTTCTCACTCTCCTCCTGCGGCGTTGGCTCGTAGGGTGTTTGGAAAGGGATTCTTTGTATAGGCTGGAGGACGTGTCAATATTAACATAGTAAAATGCCCCGGGCCCTCCCAGGCCATGGAAGGAGAGAACCTGAGCCTCCTGGTGTCCTGCCGTCATCTTTTGGGAGGCTCAGACAGGGCAGAAGACTGGGCCTACCCGGAAGCGGGCTCGTCCCAGTGACTTTTCTCCCTGGTGTGTTTCTCCGACAGGTGAGGCGGACGCTGTTTATCACAGGACTCCCCAGAGATGCCAAGAAGGAGGCTGTGGAGAGCCACTTCCGGTAAGCGGGGATGGGGCCGAAGGGGAGCCGAGTCCCCCAGGCAGGACCAGCTCGGTCCCGGGGCACGCACCTTAGGTGAGCATCTTCCACCCTTCACTTGGGGCCCCAGGTGAGACTCTAGAAGGCCTGGCCCTGCCACACGGTATCACGTGGCTCCCGTGTGCCAGCTTTGCTGGTGCCGTGCAGGGTTGGAGCCCGGGTGGCCCTTCCTCTACCAGTAGACACGGCTGCCCCATGGGACCGCATCTTCTGGGCTGTGGACAGGGTGTAGGTGCAAATGAACAACATGAGCGCACACAGGAAAAGAAAACGGTTTGCCCTGGGTTCTCAGCGTCAGCTTTGTAGAGTAAGATAAGTGAGCTGAGCTTCTGCACCGGCCCACAGAGCTGGCGTCTCCGAGGGGGACGGGCCTCAGGGCCGTCTATGCATTGTTGGTTCATCCACCCACTCAGCAAGAGTCTGTCGAGCGAGCACTCTGTGTCGGAGTCCAGTCTCTCCCTGGCGGAACTCCTTTCTGGGAGGCCCTGTGGAGCAACTGCACCAACAATTCCTGCAGGTGGAGGCTGGAGAAAAGGCTTTCCCTGAGAGAAGAAGATTGTTTGATTTTTTTTCAGCTTTTTATTTTCGTTTTTGTTTTTTGAGACAGGGCCATGCTCTGTTGCCCAGGCTGGAGTGCAGTGGTGAGTGGTGCAATCATAGCTCACTGTAACCTTAAACTCCTGGGCTCAAGTGATCCTCTCACCTCAGCTTCCTGGGTAGCTGGGACTATAGGCAGGAGCCACCACACCCAGCTAATTTTTCCTTTTTTTTGTAGAGATGGGGTCTTGCTATGTTGCCCGGGCTGGTCTTGAACTCCTGGCCTCAAGTGATCCTCCTACCTTGGCCTGCCAAAGTGCTGAGATTACAGGCATGAGCTACCAAATACAGCCTAGAATCATTTTTTTTTTTTTTTATTCTTTGAAACAACTCCTCAAAATTGCCTGGTAGGCAACATTTGGAAGCAATAGGACCACTTAATGTATAACCTTAAGGAGAAAAAAAGCCCCCTCATTCCCATGCAGACATTGTGCGGCTCCTACTGGCCACTATTTTAGAAGGCCTTTTTAGTGGACACAGTTGCAATCCATGGAGATTGATGTGTGGCTTTGCCTTGCAGCAGGGTTGCTTAAACTGGAGTTCTCATCCTCACAGCTTTTACTAAGACCAGAAATTGTCCCACTATTTAATTGAATGGTTGACTTGTCTACAGGCTGTCTCTCTCTCTCGAAATTAAACTTATCCCGGCTCTGTTCCCAGCATCTAGAACAGTGCCTAGCACATAGTAGCTGGGGATTTACGTGGTCCCGGAATTCCTGGGAGGTCTATGTACAGTTGTGTGTGTATGGTGTGGAGGCATCACATGGTGGCACCGGTTTTGTCTTTGGCTCGGGGCTGCCTATAGTCACCTCCCAGCTCAGACGCTCACTAGCTGTGTGACTTTGGACACAAGACACTTAACCTTTGTGGGCCTTGGTTTTCTCATCTGTAAAATGGGGACAAAACCTCCTAGATTATGATGAGGATCAAATAAGTTAGTATATATAACAGTACCTTGCCAGTAGTGAGAATGTATTTTGCTGATTGTTAATATGTGTGTAGACATTTTCTGGGCTGAGGGTCTTTTGCTTTCTTTAGACCCCCTGAAAGGTCTGTGACCTTCAGAGAGGCTACCAATGGAATAGGGTTCGGCAGTGGCCCAAGGTAGATCCTGACCTAGCGCAAACAGTAGAGCTGTTCCTCTGCGCGGTGAGAGGCACGTGTTCGTTCTTCCCGTGAGAAGCGCCAGCCGACTGAAAGCCAAGCGGATGTACACTGTCAGTTCTAGGCAGTTAGTGTCACACTGTTAAAAAAGGCTCTTTGCATTAAATTCCAAAGTCCCCCTTCTGAGGGATAAAAGGCAAGGAGAAAAGAGCCTCTGCCGGCACAGAAAGGAGCAGTGCGCGGCTCCTCGCCCGTGGACGCGGGGGTGTCTCCTGCCCAGTGTTCTCTTTCCCATGGCTCTTGGCCCTCCCTCCCCGGCGCAGGGACGCCTATCCCACGTGTGCGGTGGTGGACGTGCAGCTGTGCTACGACGTGGCCGCGCTGATGCACCTGTGCAGGGAGAGGTAGGGCGGCGGGCAGCCTGCCGGCCTGGAGCTTTCTGACCCCTTCCCTGCCCCAGACGCCACCTCCTTCCTCTGGCCTGGGGTCCCCCAGCTGGGAAGGTGGGGGGAGGCCCTGCCCCTTTCTTGTTCAGAAAGCTGGACTCCCCCTTGTCTCGGGGACCAGCCCTGGCCTGTGGGGGTGGGCCCGGGCCCAGGGCTGTGAGTCTGAGGCTTGTGCCTGCTGCTCCCCCGCAGGAAGAAGGCCGAGAAAAGCCTGGCCTATTACGCGGGCCTGCAGGCGAAGGCGGGCCAGCGCACCCTCATCAACCCCAAGCCCTGTGGCCAGTTCTGCTGCTGTGAAGTTCGAGGGTGTGAGTGGGTGAGGGCTCGATCCCAGCCCCGGCCGTGGGCAGTGCGGGCATGGCACTGGGGTGCCCTGACACCTGCAGGGACCACGTCATCCCGAGGGGTCGTGTCTCTGGCAGGAGGACGCCATCTCCTACTACACGCGCATGAAGGACCGGCTGCTGGAGAGGATCGTGGAGGAAGAGTGCCACGTCCAGGACCAGCCCCTGGGAATGGCCTTCGTCACCTTCCAGGACAAGTCCATGGCTACCTAGTGGGTGTGGGCAAGTCCCAGGTCCCCTCTTGGGTGACTCCCTGTCCTCCTGGAGATAACTTGCTGTCCCTCTTGCGTAGCGGTGGTGCAGCTGACCCACCACAGCCGGGATTTGTTGAGGCGTGTCTGCCTCCTGCTCAGGTGTGGCTGGCGACAGCCTTCCACGCTCACTGTGGGCAGGCCCTGCCCGCTCTCCCAGCTGTGCCGGGATCCATCCCGCTGGCTCTGAGTGTGGCGTCCTGCCTGGGGGTGCATGCACCCTCCTTCCCGATCTCCACTCTGGAACCACAGATCCTTCTGCTTGTGGACTTCCCATCTTCCTCCAGATGCAAAGCTCTGGGGGAGACCCCCAGGGCACTCCAGTGTGCTCACTGCCATGGGGGTCCTGGCATTTCATAGCACCCCTTGGCACGGGGCTATAAGCTTGCAAAATGCTCTCAAGCTTTCGGAGCAGCAGGGGCAGGTCAGGAGAGGGATGCAGAAAGGAGGTGGCCAAGCCAGTGCCCCTTCCCTTGCCTTCCCTGCCCCGGGCATCGTGAGCCTGGGCGTTCCCTGCAGGGTTCCTGCCTCGCTGCAGAAGCCGGAGCGGGAGGAAAGAGGAAGGGTGTTCTGAGACAGGAGTCAAGGGGCCTGTGGGTTCCTTATAGGAGGCTAAGAAGGGAAAGCTGCAACCCATTGAGAGGGTGAGGGTTGTGGTGGGAGTCCTGGGGAGGGAAGGGGGGGAACAGGCAATGTGGTCTGATGCTCCTCCCCTGCCTGGGAGGAAGCGGGGTGGGAGTGAAAGGCCTGGTGACAGGCTCAGATCAGAGCTCCACGTCATGGGCAGGGTGGAGGGGAACGGCCCCCTGGAGGAGGGGTGTGCTGGGGGCTGTTGGCCTCAGTTTCCTATCTGTGAAATGGGAATAGCATTCCCTTGCTTTGCAAAGTTGTGAGGATTAAACAAAATCCTTCATGTCGTATGCCAAGCATGGCACCTCTTACATAGTGTTAATTATAATAAAGTCATAATAACAAAGCAAAGACCCTGTGCTACAAGCCTCCCAGCTCTTACTCAGTCCCCATTTGCCACGTACGTATGTGCTGCCCTGGGCGGGCTTGGCCCTGACCGTGTCTGCGTTTCCCTGCAGCATCCTGAAAGATTTCAATGCCTGCAAGTGCCAGGGCCTTCGCTGCAAAGGTGAGCCCCAGCCGTCCTCCTACAGCAGGGAGCTCTGTGCCTCCACGTGGACGGTCACCTTTGCCGCTTACCCCGAGGACATCTGCTGGTGAGCCCCCAGGCCAGGGAAGGGGCGGGAGAGAGGCCTGGGGTCCTGGTAGGGGCTGCCCGTCACCTGGAGCACAGGTGTGACCTGCCATTCAGTGGATACCTACACACATCTGCAACTCTCTGGGCAGGGTGCTGGCGTGTGCTCCGTGTGGCCAACTGGGGTGTCCACACCCAGCACCTCCCTCCGTTGCTACTCCCTAGCATTCAAGCGCCATCCAGCAGACGTTTAATGTGAGCTTGTGTGTAATTTTGAATTTCCCAGTAGCTATGTTAAAAAGGTAGAAAGAAACAGTTGGAATTAATTTTAATAATTTATCACTCCCCATATATCCAAAATGTTTTTTCAACATGTAGTCAGTTTTTCAAAAATTTGAGATGTTTTACGTTCTTTTTCCTACTTAGTCTTGAAAATCTGGTGTGTATTATACACTTGTAGCACCTTTCAATTCAGACCAGCCACACTTCAATGCTCAGTGGCCACATGTGGCTTGTGGCTCCCACGTCGGACAGTGCAGCCTTAGCCAGGGTGACACGCTGGTGAGCCTTGTCCATGGAGGCCGTGGGTGAGCCTTGGGCACAGTGCCCCCAGCACGGCTGCCTGTCCAGTTCCTTGTACAGAATGAAATTCGGGTCCTTGTCCCCGCTGAGTTCTAGTTCAGCCTCTGACAGTTTTGCTTTCGGTTCATAGGGCCCCCTAAATTGAGAGTGGCTTGTGAGTCTGTTCTTGGTGGGGGTAGGACCAGGACAGGTGCCAGCTGTGCCTCTGCTCCTCTGTCCCTCCTTCCCTTCTCCTTGCACCCCAGCCTGTGGTCCCACTGGGAAGAATGTGTCCTTAGTCACAAAGCATTGCAGACATGTCTAAGAAATGCCATGTCGGAGCCGTGTTTGACTGCTCTGTGCTCCTGGCATCTCTTTGGTAGGTTCTGGCCAGACTCTAGCAGGGGAGCCAGGTCAGGGAATACCCTGTTTTCCATCTGAGTTCACAGGGACCCGAGAGTTGGCCTTCCCATAGCTGAAGGTTCTCAATGCAGAGAGGGAACTTGCCTTTACTCCTGAGGCCCAAACGAGCCTCAGCCAGAGCCCCTGGGCTAGTGGCTTGTCCTGCCTTAATCTGACCTTCCGACCCACGTAAGCTGTGGGCACTGGGAGGTAAGCCTCTGGGCCTGTGCACCCCTACCCTGCAGGAAGAACCTCTCTATCCAGGGCCTGCGTTGGTGGCTCCAGTGGCTGGGCATCAACTTCATTCTCTTCGTGGGGCTGTTTTTCCTGACCACACCCTCCATCATCCTGTCCACCATGGACAAGTTCAACGTCACCAAACCCATCCATGCGCTGAATGTGAGTGACCATTCTGTAAGGCCCACCCAGGAGGGCTGGCTGAAGAGGGTGTGTGGCTGGGGGAGGCAGGGGGCTGACGAGTGTGGAGGGCCTGAACCAGGTGGCCACGCTGCTCAGCTCACGCCTGGGACTCTAGGCCCTGAACAGGCATGGCTGTTTCTTACAATGTCTTTATACTAGTGCAAAAAAAAAAAAGTTTTTAAGTGTAATTAATCTAAATGTTCAACAGTGGGGGTCACTTAAGTGGAACGAGGTATATTCAGCCTGATAGAACGTTCAGCGTGCATTCAAAACTGCATAGGCTTTGCTGTAGACATGGGGCTCACGATAGAAGCAGAATGTGGAGTCAGCTCTGGGCCTGGTCACGGTGCGGCGCCGGGGATTTGTGAGTGTGTTGGACACCGCACGGACCGGGCAGGAAGGAATGCAAGGAGCTTTGTTGATTCGGGTGGCAGGATCATGAATTATTTCTTTTACAGTTTACTTCCTGACAGTCTTGTTATAAAATCATTTATTCTGTATAGGCAATGGATGATTTTCAAAAATCTTAGTTCAATCAATAACACCTAGCCCCTCTGTAAATTGACATCTACTTTAAAAGATGTTGGATTTTTATAATTAGCTTTGCTGAAATATCTCCCTATATCGTTTTTCTTTTTTCCAATTCCACTTGGCATTGGTTAGGCATCCTCTGGGAAAGCACGCTGGACAGGAGGCCCTCCTCGTCCTTGTTTTGCCATTCCCTAGCTAGCTGATGAATTCTGAGTTTCTTCTTCCAAAAGCTGGAGTGAGAACACCTGCCGTATTATACTCATGGAGTTGCTGTCATGATGATAAAATGAGCTGATGCGTAGTTGAAGCTCTTATCTGACTGAATACATAATAATAACCACTCTAAGTGTATAGTAAGTGATTTTATTTAGTTTTGAAGCAGGTACATGTCTATTCTTTTGCCAGTTTTTTGATGGAGAGACAAGGCCTGTTCTTTTGAGGATGGGTCTGCTGATGAGAGCCCCACTTTGTCTGTTCTATGTAAATGGCACCCTTGTTTCATTGTTTGTGATTCCCGTGTTGGTTTCCGTAAAGTAAAGCAAGCATCTAAAGACCCTTACACAGCCCCCGCGGCTCCACGCCAGCCTGGGGAGCGACTTGGCCGCTGGCCATGAGCCTCGAGGGCACCAGAGCGGGGGAGGGGGGGCCGAGGGCTCCAGCACCCAGGCCCAGCACAGCGAGGGCACCAAGGCCGCCCGTCGGTCCGGGCTGGTGCCGTTCCCCTGGCCAAAGAGAAGGTGGGCCCTGGAACGTGGCCGCAGCATGTCCCTCTTAAAATTTGAAAAAATCTGTGTTCATGAGGAGTGACTGCATACAAACCACAGTATGTCAAGAAAGAAAAAAAGATCCAATAGAAATGTTTCATTCTGGGCAGCTTGTAAAAGTCTGTGCCCCTATGGTTCGATATTCAAAGTTGGCTTTCAGAACACTAGTGAGAAAATACAGTTGTGATCTGTGTTATACACCAATGATAGTTGCTGCTGATTTTGTCAGACCTATAAAAGCCAGAGACAGTGAATTTACCACAAACCAAATGATTGCCCATTGATCATTCAGTTTGCTGCTAACGATGCAAGAATTTTATCCGATGCTGCTCGTGTAGTCCTTATGCGGATGGAACAGACATTAGCCGTGGCTGTCCTCAGAGGTGGGCAAGGGCAGAAGGTTATGGGGCTTGCTTAATAAACAAGCCAGAACTTGTTCGAGATATGGTGAAATAAGCAAGAAATGAAGTGGAAAACCCCAGATTTTTGGTTTCTGTTAAAATAAGGATCCATGATGACCTTCCAAGAACTGTAGATCTTTGTCAAAAGGCTGAAGCAATAGGAGCTCCCTGTGTTACAGTCCGAGGAAGAACTGCTGAAGAAAGACACCGGCCAGTGCATTATGATGCCATTGAAATAATTAAGGAGAATATGTCTATACCTGTAATTGCTAATGGAGACATCAGAAGCTTAAAGGAAGCAGAAAATGTGTGGCAGATTACTGGGACAGATGGTGTGGCGGCTGCAAGAGGGCTCTTAGCGAACCTCGCCATGTGTGCTGGCTGTGAGGGAACCCCACTGAAATGCATCTGGGCCTGGGTCGACATTGAGTTCAAGAACTTGGAACTCCATACGTGTGTTTCCATCAACATTTAATGTACATGATGGAAAAGATAACTTCAAGGCAGGAAAAAAAGAATATTTAATGCTCTGTCAAGCACATCAGCAGTCTTAGATTATTTTATAGATCATTATGGCATTTAACTGGACTTCCTAAATTACTTTAATATATGCTTTATTTTATACCTACAATGAAACTAGAGGCGGTCACATCTTGGTTTTTACTTTGTATTAGTGGCTTTTAAACTTTAGTATAAAAACAGTCCCTGGGAACATTTTTAAAAATCAGTCCTAGACTCCATCCTCAGAGATAGTTTTAAAGAAGACTCCAGGTAGTCCAACTATCCTTATCATGCTAGATCCAAACTTCTTTGAATCCTGTTGTGGATTAGCTGGTGGAGGGATAGAAATTTTTTCCTAAAGGAATCATGTTTTCAACATTTTAAAATAAAACTTATTTTAATACTAAAAAAAATAAAAATAAAAAAATAATAAAGATCCTTACACAGCCATTCTGAATATACAACCTTCCCAGGTATCAGATCCTTTGATCTTTTACAGTTAATTTACTCTCATCTAGTTCAACAGCATTTTGTAGAAATTAGCCTTTATCAAGTCTTTCGGAAATGTCCAACTTAGTTTTCAAAGAAAATTTCTCTATTTTTATGTCCATTTAATCAGCGAAAGTAATCCAGATCATGTAATTACAGTAACAGGTACAGCCAGCATCCTTGGGGTTGAGAACAAGCACACTAGAGGCCTGATAAGCTACAGCCAGACCAGCGGGGGTGCGTGGGCGGGTGGCCCGGAGAGCTCCGGTCATCAGTGACCTCTAGGGAATGGAGAAGGTTATCTAGCCGTGGCCAGCCAGATAAGTGGAGTTCCGTTGTACGTGCAGTTGCTTTCTTCGCTGTAAAGAACTGTACAAGTGTAAGGTGCTATTATTGTTTATTCAACCGGCATTTATGGACTGCCTCCTCTGGGCCTGACACAGTGTTGGTTCTGAGGGTCAAGGATGACCCAACCCTACTCCAGGAGTCCACTGAGCCACCGTGCCAGTAGGTCACAGCTTCAGAGCCAAGTGGCCCGTGCCCCTCCAACTCTCTCTGCCTGTGGACCTTGTCTCCTAGGACCCAATCATCAGCCAGTTCTTCCCGACCCTTCTGCTGTGGTCCTTCTCCGCCCTGCTGCCATCCATCGTCTACTACTCCACGCTGCTGGAGTCCCACTGGACCAAGTGAGTTTCCAGGAGCCCCGAGTCCCTGCCCCGAAAAGGATGTCTCTGACCCCCTGGCCAGGGCAACGGGCACCTAGTAGGGGCCTCAGTTGGACACCTGGAGCTTTTGTGGGGTGGTGAGTGCTCACCTCCGACTTCCTGCAGGTCAGGGGAAAACCGGATCATGATGACCAAGGTCTACATATTCTTGATCTTCATGGTGCTGATCCTGCCTTCTTTGGGCCTCACCAGGTACACACCACTTCCTGCTCCACATTCCAAACCAGGGTCACATCTAGAGAGTTTGGATGCAAATCTCTAATAACATCTAAGCCTGTTGCATCCACTTGCAGCACAGTTGTGCTAATTCGTTGGTTCTTCTGGAAATGTGATTGTTCTTCTTTTTAAAAAAAAAAACCAAAGAAACAACAGCTTGAAAACAAAACTCATCGAGGACCTTCCATTTCGGAAGGGTCTAATGGTGGCTTTGTTATCTCAAGGAAGGACGTTTCTGTTAAAACATGCCACACATTGTAGTATCTGGTATCGTGGAGAACAGAGGTAAATCTTGAGACTTGGCCTGTTTTTAGAGTGGAGTAAAATGAAAATGTGTGTAGTGATGACAGAGTGTTCTAGAAATAGACTTTTAGGGAATTCATTTGTTTTTCAGTCTGGATTTTTTCTTCCGGTGGCTCTTTGACAAAACTTCCACGGAGGGCACCATCAGGTTGGAGTGAGTATTGCCACGTGGGTGCAGGGGCCGCGGTCCTGGGTGGAAGCCCCACGGGGCGGGGCTGGGCTGCTGTGGGAGGGTGGGCGGCAGTCTGTGCTTTCCAGCCGGCATCTTCCTCCCTGGCCAGCGGGGCCTAGGGCTGGCCACCCCCTGCCAGGTTCCAGGTAGACATGGTGGGAGCTGCCCTGCTTTGTGCTGCACTTGCAGAAATGTGGTTCATCTTTTAGGCCAAAACTCAATAGCAGCAGTCTCATTCACTCTTTGAAATGTACTGAGCACAGAGCCGCTCGGGGAGGGGAGCTGCTGGGTCTCAGTGGTGCCAGGGAGAAAGGAAGGCGAATAATAATTAAACGTGACAACCAGAATGACTGTTTGGTCTGGGGGTTTATTTATTTATTTATTTGCCAGGAGAATGGAATTAAACTTATTGCTCATGTGTCTTTGTTAGTATTTTAAGTGAGCATCACACCCACTTGATACTAATAGCTATTATTTAAGAAGGCATGATGCTCAATGCTTTATACATCTTTTTCTCATTTAACTTTTATGACAAGCTATGAGGTAGATACTATTGTTATCTCCATTTTACAGATGAGGAGGCTGAGGCTCAGAGATGTCAAATAATTTGCCCAAGTTTACCTAGCTAGTTAAGAAACAGAGCTGGGATTCAACCCTAGCCCCTACCACACTATACTTTAGGTCTTTTTTTGGGGGTGGGGCAAGGTCTTGCTCTGTCACCTTGTGGTGTCACCTAGTGGTGTCATCATAGCTTACTACAACCTCGAACTTTTAGGCTCAAGCAATCCTCCTGCCTTAGCTTCCTGAGTAGCTGGGACTACAGGTGTGTGCCACCTGGCTAATTTTTCTATTTTTTGTAGAGACAGGGTCTCACTCTTGCTCACGCTGGTTTTGAACTCCTGGCCTCAAGCAATCCTCCTGCCTCAGCTTCCCAAAGTGCTAGGATTACAGGTGTGAGCCATATACCTGGCCTTTAGGTCTTAATACAGGCCCCAAAGCCTAGAACTGATTTTTCCAAAGGAATGTTTACAGAGAAGGCTGGCTATGTTTATCTGTACGGATGCAGTGAATTATTTTAAATGAGTTCAGATACACAGATACAAATATACCCAAGCAGCTCTTGTCTAGGTTGACAGTGACTTCAAGACTGGCAAATCCAATGGCAAACTCCCAGTCCTTGCCCTGTGTGACTGTCAGCAACGCCCGCCTGACAGTTTTACCCAGACTTTCCTCCTTGAAGCGCTGTCATCGCTGCGTTCTGGGGCTCTGGGGCTCTGCTCTTACCATGGAGGCTCCTCTTGCCTCCTTGGCAGGTTCTTTCACATCTGCCCAACTTTAGATTTGGCTGCCTGAGGGCTCAGCCCATGTCCTCGAGAGCCACACTCCCTCTCTAGGTGGGCTTAGCTGGACCCACGGCTTCAGTGCCACTTGATGACCACCGCCTTAAAATACGCAACTCTAGCCTGTGCCTCCAGGCCCTTATATCCAGCTGTCTGCCTCAACTGCATTTGATGCCGGGCATCACAGATGTTACCTGCCCCAAACCAAACTCCTGACTTTTATCCCAGATCTGCTGCTGCGACCACTCTCCCCATTCCGTAACGTTTTTCCAGTTGCTCTGGCGTAAAACCTTGCGGTTCACCATGTCTCCTTTCTTTCCCTCGCATGCAACATGCAGACCATCAGCACATCCTGACAGCTCTAAGGTAGATCCAGAATCGGGCCCGATCTCACCACCTCCCCTGTGCCCACGCGGGGGTGATGGCAGTGGCATTGGCGGGGTCTCCTGACCCCCACCCCTCACCCCGTCGTGGGAGCGGCTCTCCTGCTCTAGCCCCCAGCCCCTCAGCCGCATACTCTCCCTGCCCCGCCACTGCTGTCCAGTGCGCGCGGCCCTCTTGCTGGTCCCCGGGCACGCCACACCTCCTCAGAGCCGTGCTCTGTTGTTCCTGTGCCTAGAACGCTCTCTGCCAGCCTTCCGGGTGACTCGCTCCTTCACCCCCCACACCTCTGCACCAACATCCCTCCTGGGAGAGGCTTCTCCGACCCCTGTGACACGGTGTCCCCACCCTGCTTCCTTTCCCTGCAGCACTCAGCACCCGGCACACTGTGTCTTTGTGTGCTTGCCCGTTTGTGTCCCAGCTAGAATGTGCACTCCGAGAGCTGGGGCAGGGCTTCGTTTCACTCTCGGTGCCCAGCACAGTGCCTGGCCACGGACGCAGGGAAGGGCAGCAAGCCTAGGGCCCCTTGCTGCCCCCCGAGAGTGGCTCTCACTCTCAGACCGCCCGGCTCCCCAGGTGTGTCTTCCTGCCCGACCAAGGCGCCTTCTTTGTGAACTACGTGATCGCCTCGGCCTTCGTCGGCAACGGCATGGAGCTGCTGCGCCTGCCCGGCCTCATCCTCTACACTTTCCGCATGATCATGGCCAAGACGGCCGCTGACCGCAGGAACATCAAGCAGGTGCCACCGCTGGGCGTGGGGCTGTGCCTCCGACCCCCTCCGCCAACCCACGGGCCTGTCACCCTGCCTCCCAGTGAGCCCAGCACTTTACCAGTGCCTGGCTCTGCGCCAGGTGCCCCCGGCCCAGGCCCGGCTTCCCTAGCCTCCACTCTAACTCACAGGCTGACAAGAGGGCTTGGGAGTTTTGCATTTTAACCAGTTTGGCTACACACACATACATGCACAACTAAAGGCAACAGCCTCCCTTTCCATGGACTGCCATTTGCATGGATTCTTAGGAGTTCCTCAGATGTCAGTGGCATTTTGGGCTTGTGGCGTTTACCCCAAGATCCGCCGGACTGGATGGTGTGGGGTTGTCTTTTATTCTCCGCTGCCGTGGCGGGAGGAAAGTGGGGCAGCTCTGCTGTCCTTCACCTAGTGCTCAGGGGCGCGAGGGCTCGGCTAGCATGGCCGTTTTGTGGATGTGCACGCTGAGCTGCTGGAGCCCCGGCAGGAGGGCGGAGCCTATGCGGTGCTCTCCCGCCCGTCCTCAGACCACCTGTGCCCTCGGGGCTCATGGGCCCGCTGGGTAGACAAGATGTGTGTCGCCCGTCCTCAGACCACCTGTGCCCTCGGGGCTCATGGGCCCGCTGGGTAGACAAGATGTGTGTCACTGTGCTTGGGGCATCTGGGTGTGCGCTGAAGCTGGAGCAGGCTGGGGAGGGCTGGAAGGACGCACCTCCTATTTCCAAGGCCCCTCCAGCCGCCCTCCCCTCCCGACTGGAGTGCAGGAGGGGCGTGTGGGCAGAACAGGCCGTGATGGCCTCGCCCCTCCTCCTCCCAGAACCAGGCCTTCGAGTACGAGTTTGGAGCCATGTATGCCTGGATGCTGTGTGTCTTCACCGTCATCATGGCCTACAGCATCACCTGCCCCATCATTGCGCCATTCGGTGAGTGGCCCTGGAGCCTGGCCCGGGCACGTGGGCAGCTGATGCCACCCAGCCTCCCGGGCACATCCATAGCTAGGGCATTGTGCAGCACCCAAAACAGCAGCCACAAGAACCACAAGCTGTCAAGGAAGCACACGTGACACCAAATTTCATTTGTTGCTAGATGAATTCCTCCCCGTGGCCTTCTAGCTATGACCTTCCTTCTGGTCCGAGGTTCTCTGCCAGCTCGACCGTGCCATTTTTCTGACTCTTTAGCAGCAAGTAAGACGTGCTGCAGGGGCAGCCAGAGTTCTCAGGGTGCTCTAGCTTACGCCAGGCGCTGCCTCCGCCGGGATTATCACATTTCACTCTCGTCTAGTCCTGCAAGGCAGGCCCTGTTTCCATCCCCCTTTTACAGAGGAAGAAGATGTTCTTAGTAAGGAGGACAGCTAGGATCTGAACTTAGGACTGTTTGACTTCAAAGGCCAAGATTTGAAGACTAAATTAAACATCTGGGACTAGCAGATGAATGGAAGATTCTAGAAGAAAACAGCCAGCCAGGAGACTGTTGGCAGCAATAGCTGAGGTTTAGGGGGAGAAGCTTTGGTTTTCCCTGTATACTATCTTGCACAATTTTTAAATTCTATAATATAAACTCTTTCAAAACAAAAATGTTTTTTGAAAAAGAACCTGGCATAATAGAAAAGGCAGCACCCCCCTGCCGTGCCACCCCTGGGTAAGGCCCCTGGGCCTCTGTTGACTGTGACGAGGGCAAGGGGTGAGCCTGGGAGGGGCTGGGGAGAATTCAGGCCAGACGTGAGTGTGAAGCGGCCTTTCCCAAGACAGTCCTGGGATTTCAGTGCTCCGTGGGGACAGAATCACAGACACTGCTACTCTTTTGGGGTCAGAAGAGAGGAAAGGGTTGGGGGAGGAGGGGAGAGGAAGACACACAGAGAAACAGCTAACAGCCAGGATGTGACTTTGCCTAGTTTCGGGTTCAGGAGGTAGAGCAGCACCCCCAGCCCTAGCTCCAGGCTGGAAGAGCCACCCCTAAGAGGAAGGGGTCTCCATCTCACAGCCCCACTCCCACAGGCCTCATCTACATGCTGCTCAAGCACATGGTGGACCGGCACAACCTCTACTTCGTCTACCTCCCTGCCAAGCTGCAGAAGAGGATCCACTTCGCCGCCGTGAACCAGGCCTTGGCCGCACCCATCCTGTGCCTCTTCTGGCTCTACTTCTTCTCCTTCCTGCGCCTGGGTGAGGGGCTCTTCTGGCCTGGGGGACCGGCCCTAGGCCTCACATTCCTGCATCCACACCAGCCAGTCAGATCCCTCATTGCTTTAATAGCATCAACTTGGTGTCCAATCAGAACGTGGTGCCCAGGGTGAGAGCCAGTTGGGTGTCCAATCAGAACGCGGTGCCCCAGGGTGGGGGCCTGGTGGGCGTGGTGTTGACAGCCCAGCTCCTGAGCGGAGGTGTAACCCTGAGGGCCTGGTCGGTGGTCTCAGACATCACTAGCGAGAAGATAGTCCCTTTATCAGCTGAGGGGACTGAACCAGAGGAGATTGCTCTTTGGGGTGGTGGATGGCCCAGGCCCTCCCACCTCACAGTGTGGGGGTGGTGGGGACATGCAGGAGGGAGAACTGATACTCTTGGGAAAAGGCATGTGTGACACCACCCCAGACAGACTGGGGAGAGCCTCCATCCCACCTAGCCCGGAGGCTGGAGGGCACTGGCTGGGTGAGGACACTGGCAGACTGCCTTTTACTTGGCGTCCCTGCACCTGCAGTCTGCCCGGGGATAATGCTGGCCATTCGGTGGGTCACTGCGAAGACGCGGTCCCAGCTGCTGGCGTGAGCGGTGGGGATGGAGGGTTAGGCCCTGCCTTTATTTTCTGCCTGAGGGGGCTGCACCAGGTGTAGCCCCTTCCTCAGCAGTCCCTCCTCCTCCTTCCCCCAAGACTAGCATTCATCTGTCCCCAGGTATGAAGGCCCCTTCCACCCTGTTCACCTTCCTGGTTGTGCTGCTCACCATCCTGGTCTGCCTGGCTTATACCTGCTTCGGATGCTTCAAGCACCTCAGCCCTCTGAACTACAAGGTAAAGCCCTCCCCCCATGACTGCCCAGCTGGGATCCGGGAGGAGAAGATGGTGGGCTCACTCTCCACCCCTCCGCCACCCTCTCTGTATCAACACCGCAGTCGCCAGCTCCAGATTGTATTTATCCGTGGGAAAGGCGTGGGTAGTTGGGTGTGATGTGTAGCTTCCCTCCCTCCCTCTTCCCCGCTCCCTGCACTCCCCCCACCCCATCCTCCTGGGCTGCCTTGGAGCTTGGTGCCACCTGGTACTATTATTCCAGGTGTTAATAGCCCGTTTGTTTGGAGGGTGTTAGTTCAGGGAGATCAGTTGTGTTTATCATTGCAAGTTTTTGCTGTTATCTGCAGACAGAAGAAGCAGCAGGTGACAAAGGAAGTGAGGCAGAGGCCCGAGTGCCTCCACCGTTCACAGTAAGCTGCCTATGCTGCCTAACCTGGGGTGCCTGCTGCCCTTTGTGGCTCTGGCCCTAACAGTCCCCGCCAGGTGAACCCTGGCAAATGTGCTTTGATCGTCTCTTGCTGAGATGGAAGTCCCTGATCACGGGGCAGGCAAGTTTCTGAATTAACATCAGAGAAGGAGTCCCTAGTCCCTCTGGATGGTCTAGCCTGCACATTTAGCGCTGGAAAGATAATTAGTCTTGCCGAGATGTGTGCCCATCCCCCTTGGCTTCAGTTCCCCGCTCACTCTCCTCCTCTGCACGCTTAATGCCTGGTGAGTTGGAGGCGTTAGTGAGGCGACATGGTAAGGCGCCAGGGTTTGATGAAGCTGTACTGCCAGCGGTGCAGCTGCCTGTGCCAGGGCCCCCGCCAGGCACCAAGAGGGTGTCACACAAACTCCTCTTTGAATTCAAGAAGTGAACGTTGCACCTGCTTCAGAGGAAGGCACAATGGTAGGAAGACACCAGGACTCCTTCTCTGACTGGTCTCCCTGCTCCCAGCCTTCAGGGTCCTGCTCCCAGGGTGGGGCTGGGAGAGGAAAGCAGAGCCACAGGAGCCCAGAGCTGTGGCCACTGGCCCTCAAGACAGACGCAAGGCCAAAACAGTGGCCGATCTCATCAGCAGTGTTCTTCCCAGTGGCTGCCTCCCAGGTGTCAGGCCCTCTTATCAGTGTGTCCTTGGACAAGCCCCAGAGGAGAAGGTCCTCAGAAATGCTCATTGCCCAGAGACACACCTGTGGCTGTGCCAGCCTGTCAAGGGGAAGGCGGGACAGGTGCATGAGGCGACGCCCTCATTCTCAGCCTGGGTGTGGGAGCAGGAGAGTAGGACTCTGTGCCTGGGGATGGGAGGAAACGAAAGTCACCCGGATTCCTTCCGCATACCAAAAGTCCCACTGACCGTGTTCTAGGCCTGCCTATGTAGACAGGCTTGTTTCCTATATCAAGTGAGAAATTCTAGAATCCAGTGCTGGGAACTTTGTTTCCTCTGAGAAAGAGAGGAAGCTTCTCTGTCGTGCTTCCTGCTGTGTGATCGTGAGAATGGTGCACCTGAGCTTTCTGTTTTGCCCTGGCTGCTGAAGTTCTGCAGCGGCATGGCTTGGGTCCTAATGTCCCAAGGTGATGCTGCTGTTTTTCCTATGTGTCCTTCAGGAGCACTCTGTGTCCTCCTGCTGGGCGGAGCGGTGGTAGTGGACAGGAGGGTAACGCACACCCGGCCCACCCAAGCACTAACTCCCCCATTTGCTGACAGCCCTACGTGCCTCGGATTCTGAATGGCTTGGCCTCGGAGAGGACAGCCCTGTCCCCGCAGCTGCAGCAGACCTATGGCGCCATCCACAACATCAGTGGCACTCTCCCTGGAGAACACTTGGCCCGGAGCCCTGCGGACGGTGTGGCTGCTGCCCACTCGGAGGCCTGAGGGTGGCGAGCTGCCCGGCTGTGCCAGGCTCGGAGGAGCCCGGGAGACGAGAAGACACACGTGGAGAAGTGGCTGGACTCCAACCCCAACCAGGTCCATCTGATCTAAGCCCCACTGCTCTGAGAAGATGGAACCAGAAAGACCTGGGCCTTGGGCCTTTAGCTGAAGGGGAAAGGGTTGAGACTGCCAGCTCCGCACCTTTGGGTGCTGGTGGCAGCAGCGGTGAGGCAGCGCCCTGCCTCACGGACTCACCTAAGCTCTGCGGCTCCCAGGCCCCGCCCCCACAGGCTTCTGGCCGTGGCGCTGGGGTGATGTGCCCAGCGGTTTGTAGCCGAGATCACATGCTGGCCGTTTGCTCCCCGACCGATCACCCTGGAGACTATATCGGGTAACACGTGGGAGAGACCTCCTCCTTCTGAGCACCCAAACACTGCACACCCTCTAGGCACACGCACAGCGGATGCCAGAGTCGCACCTGCATTGGGGGCAGTCTCCCTCTGGCCCTGGGTCCCCCCCGCCCCCCGCCCTCCTCTCACCCCAGCCCTCCCCGCGCCCCGGCCCCAGCCCCAGCCCTCCCCGCCCCGGTCCAGCCCCGGCCCCAGCCCTCCCTGCGCCCCAACCCCAGCCCTCCCCGCATCCCAGCCCTCCCCGCGCCCCGGCCCTCCCCTCGGCCCGGCCGGGTCCAGCCCCAGCCCTGGCCCCGGCCCTCCCCGCGCCTCGGCCCGGTCCAGCCCCAGCCCCAGCCCCAGCCCCGGTCCTCTCTGTGCCCCGGCCCGGCCCTCCCAGCACCCTGTCCCGCCCGGCCCCGGCCCTCCCCGAGCTCCGGGCTGGCTGGTGGTGCGGTGAGGAGCAGGGTAGAAGCAGCCAGCTCGCTGCAGCCGTCCAGCCGTGCACACACCTCCATGTCCTGCTGTGGTCCTATGTTCTGTCATGTTTCAGGGACACTTTGGCTGGGTCAGGGTCAAAGAGGACAAAGGGCCACGAATAAAGTGCCCATTGGACCCAACGGGTGAGATATAGCCTCTCCCCGCCCCTTCAGGCGACTGGGGTCCAGGCAGGCTCGGTGCCTCCGTGGAGCCAAGAGTGGGCCGGTGTGGAGGGCAGAGGAGGGGTGCCAGCTGCCTGCAGTGCCGGGCTGTCCCACTGCCCTGGAGCAGTGATCCAGGCAGGAGGGACAGGCCTTTTCCTTGCCAGTGGGATTCTGGGGCTAGGATGGAGTTCTGTCCAAGGAGACCCCTCCCTGCTGCCTCCAGGCAGCATCAAGGCCTGCACTGGAGGGGCAGGGGCGTGTGAGAGCCGTGGGACGGTCTGAGCCTCCTTCTATCCCAACAGGGGCAGGTGCGGCAGGGCCCTGGTGGCCCTCCTCAGACCTGCCTGTGCTTGTCCCCTGGCCTGGCTGGGCCTGGGCTCCTCACACCCAGGCCCCTCTTAATGTTGACCTGTGCCAGGGGTCACACAGCCATGAAGCCTCTGCTCTGAGGGGTGGCCTGGTGCCCTGTGTCCTTTGGGGACCACCCTGTGCAGAGTGGCCCTGGGCAGCAGAGGGCAGCCTTCCCCCAACACAGACTGTTCACCTGCCCGCTCTGCTCTGGAAGGGGGCCTGACGTGGGGTCAGGGCACATAACTGTCACTTGGTTCCAGCTCCTCTTAGAAGTAAAACCATTTATTACCAAAGCCATGTTGCGTACATGGGCGTACGTGGGGTGGGTGAGTGTGGGCTCCCAGCACGGGCTAGGGATGGGGCAGACGCCTCAGGCAGGAGCACCTTCCCCAGGAAAAGCCTGGAGGGCGCTGGGGTGGGGCGTGGGAATCACTGGTGCTCCAGCAGCGACACGAACTTGCGGATGTCCCGGGCGAGCAGCTCTGGCTCCTCAAAAGCCGCGAAGTGGCCCCCACGGGCCATGTAGGAATAGGAGATGAGTTTCGGGTACTTGAACTTCACCCATTTTTCAGGCACGTGCACTAACTCGAAAGGGAAGGCGGCAAAGCCAGTGGGCACGTGGACCTTCATGCTGGAAGAGACAGGTCCACGGAGGGGTGAGGCTGTGGCCCTGTGCCTTCTGCCCCCCAAGGTGGCCAAGTTCAAGGGCCTGGGGGCAGGGTCAGCTGCCCCCCCTCCCCGAGGAAGCCATGAAGAATAGGACAGACCCAGGGTTGTTTGTTTTTTTTTTGAGACAGAGTCTCACTGTTGCCTGGGCCAGAGTGCCGTGGTGTCAGCCTAGCTCACAGCAACCTCAAACTCCTGGGCTCAAGCGATCCTCCTGCCTCAGCCTCCCGAGTAGCTGGAACTACAGGCATGCGCCACATGCCCAGCTAATCTTTTCTATATATTTTTAGTTATCCAGGTAATCTCTTTCTATTTTTTTAATAGTGATGGGGTCTCACTTTTGCTCAGGCTGGTCTCAAACTCCTGAGCTCAGATGATCCACCCAGAGTGGTAGGATTACAGGTGTGAGCCACCATGCCCAGCCAGACCCAGGGTTTTAACTGCCTCTTGCCCTACCCCTCCCCCAACTCACCAAGGACCCTATCTTTTCTGGGAGGGCCCCCTGGGCAGGGGCATGGGATAGCCTCTAACTCCCACCTTTATTCCCTTTCCCTTTGCTGCCACTTGGGGGTCTCCATATGGGATTTGGAAATCCCAGAACCATTAGCACCACAGCACACCAGCGTCGTGGGCCAGGGGAGGCCCTGAGGGACATCGGGGGCCAGGCCTGGTGTTCCCTTCATGAGCAGTTCTAAAGGCATGGGGATTTCTCCAAACACCTGGGGCCTTAGTGTCCTCATCCAAAGGCCTCCAAGTGACACTACAGGCAAGGCTGTCCTCATCCTGCCATCGAAGGCCCCCACTTGAGTTCAAGATTGGCCACCCCCTGCTTCCTGCTTCCTGCCCCAGAGGCCCTCACTTGGGTGTGGCCGGGCTCACCGCTCATGCTTGTGGGCCATCCAGCCCTGGCCCAGGTTCTCCTTGTAGTAGCGCTGGGAGGAGACGATGGTGCCCGTCGTCCAGTAGAGCATGATGTTGGTCAGCAGCTCGTCCAGGGAGAACTTCCTGGGAAAACAGCACAGAGCCCTGCTCTCCGCACCAGAGGCAGTTGTACTACAAAGCTGCCACTTCCAGACTGTGTGCAAATGCCAGGCCCTGCTTATGTGGCTTGCCTCCTCAGCCCTCACTGCAAGGTGGGTAGCATGATCCCCATGCCACAGGCAGGCTGGGCCCAGGGCGCCAGCTGCTATGGAGACAGGTAATGCAGAGTGCTGACCGCACATGAGGCAGCATGTTCTGAGCTCCTTACGTGCATTTAATTTATTTCTTCCTTTTGATGATGGTAACCTATGGGACGTAGGCTATTGTCATCTCCACTTTACTAGTAAGTGGAGGATCCAAACCCAGGTGGTTGGGTGCAGGATGCAGATGCCACAGCCCCCAGCCCCACCCTCCAGGGAGGCCCAGTTCTGAGCCTGGGTTTCTCCAGGGCAATGAGTTCCCCATTCCTCGGAATCCTAAGGGACTCTGGACTCTCATCAGAGCACCTGGGCTTGGAATTCCCGGATGCAGGAACGAGGCCCAGCCTCTGGGTTTCCCTCCAAACCCGCACACAAGCTTGCAGGGCACTGCACTGAGAGGGCGGGAGTCACGGGACCAGGGGCCTAATCTCAGCCATGCTAAGGAGTGCTGGACGCTGGCAGTTGTTCACCTTGCCTGTGCCCGTTTCTCCTCTGATAGACACGTGGCAGTGTCAGAAGTAAAAACAACACAGAGTCCAGGTCCATGTCTAGGACAGCCTGCTCGGCTGGAAACTTGGCACTGCCAGGTTTACCAGCCTCATTTCCACCTCACCAGGCTCCAGCCCTTCTTCCTGGGAGCACCTGCCCACCGCACCCCTGACCCTCTAGCATCACATCCTGTGCCCCTCCCAGGCCTGGCCAGTTGCTTCCACAACACCCCTTTGGTGCCCTCACCCGTGTGCCCTTCTGCCTCTCCCTCCCCCCACAATGTTCCCAGACGGGGAGGCCCCCTGCCCTGCTGCTGAATCCGTCATGGATCCACGCTCTCCAGCTCAGCTGCCACTTCCCCAGAGACTCCTGACAGCCGTGTGCCCTCCCACTGCCCAGCCCCCAACTGCCTTCCTGCCGCCATCTTTGAGGACATCTAAGTCCTACAGGCAGCAATTTCCCCCACATCCTTCCCTGCCAATTCTAGGCTTTTCTGCCTAGGCTTAGGGGAGGTGTTGCCTCTTGTCCTGCCTCCCAGGGCCCCACCTGGCCATGGTCTTCCTGCTCTGCTCCAGGCACCCCAGCCCTGAAGCTTCCTTTGACCCAATTGTGTCAGTCACTTCCTCCCCCACTGCCTGCAGTCTAAGGGCCTCTTGTCATCCTGGGGCCCTCCCGCCACCTGCCTCTCCTCCATGCCCCTGTCCCCTTCTCCTGCCCCAACCTCTCCTCCTGTCCCTCCTCAACCCTGCACACTGACCTGCCCCTGCTGCCCAGGCCTCATACGTCAGGGCCTCTCACTAGGTTCTGTCCTTCCAGACATGAGCACACTCTTCCTCTCTCCCTCCTTCTGTAGCCAATAATTCTTTCCCAGCATCCATGTATGGGGCTGTCTATGTTTTCTTTGAGGAGATTTGCACATACCACGGCTCTAGCCACTAACTCCTCTGGGAACACAGTGTAAGTAATTTCCTCCGATTCCACCCCTTGCCTGAGCTCCAGACATGCGGGTCTGGTTACCCAGCGGACATCTCCATCCAGACATGCTGCCAGCATCTCCCACTCAACACGCCACAACACCAGTGAGCTCTGGCACCCCCCCAACTGCACGCTCAGACACGCACACGCACGTACACACACGTGCACACATACTGGTGCTCCCCTCCTCATCCTCCACACCCAGCATCCAGGCTAAGCCCTGAGTCATCGGGGAGCCTCCCTCTCCCTGTTCCCACCACGTCCCAGCTGTCCTCCATCCTCCAGTCCCGCCCTCCCGTCCTGGGAGGCCCTGCTCCGCAGCTGCTGCCTGAATTGCAGCACATTTGCTGGTCCTTGCGCCTGGCCCCTCAGCTCTCCGGCAAGAGCTGGCTGAGTCAGCAGAAGCCAAGTCACCAAAATGGCCAGTTTGCTTCAGCCATTTAGGTGCAGTTGCTTGATCATATTTTTATCCTCAGATTCACATTTTCAGGAATGTCCGATCACTCTGCCCTGCAAGCAGTAAGGCAGCTGGAGAGGGGCAGGGAGAGGGAGGCTGCGCGGAGCAGGGCCTGCCATTGCACAGGAACGCGGGGAGTGTCCTGGGAAGAGGCTTCCCGGGAAGGAAGATCCCAAAGACACCCTCACACTCAAGAACGTATTCTTCTTAGTCCTTCATCCCTCCTCTCAGAAATCCTGCATAGGAAATCCTGAATATCTAGCAGGGGTAAAGATTCTCCCCCGCATTTAAAAATTGCAATTTTGACAAAATGAAAAGCTGTCACTGAAAAGGGAGGAGTTACAATAAACCCGTAAACTCTGCGCTGCTCTCTGCGAGCTGCCACGTGCCTCCATAGCCCCTTCGGCTCCAGCCTCAGACTGAAAACTACCACAACCACCATTTCCGCCCCACTGTTCTTTCTAGAAGACAGATTTGATCCTGACTGTCTCACTGGAAGTTTGGTGCTCCCTGTAGGCAGGGCAGGGCCAGACCCCTGGCCCAGGTGGTCCTAAAGGAGTCCATGACCCCCTGGGGCCTGCTGACCGTGAGGGCGGACACAGGTCTCAGAGGACGGGCCTGCCAAGGCCTGTGGAGGGCTGCCTGCAGGAACGAGCACACAGTCTGCCCCCAATGTACCTGCTCCAGCCTCGGAACAAGTCACCCTTTCTAGGCACACCTTGCTTTTTTTTTTTTTTTTTGAGACAGAGTCTAGCTTTCTTGCCTAGGCTAGAGTGAGTGCCGTGGCGTCAGCCTAGCTCACAGCAACCTCAAACTCCTGGGCTCAAGCCATCCTCCTGCCTCAGCCTCCCAAGTAGCTGGGACTACAGGCACAAGCCACCATGCCCGGCTGATTTTTATATATATATATATTAGTTGGCCAATTAATTTCTTTCTATTTTTATGGTAGAGACGGGGTCTCGCTCAGGCTGGTTTTGAACTCCTGACCTTGAGCAATCCACCCGCCTCGGCCTCCCAGAGTGCTAGGATTACAGGCGTGAGCCACCGCGCCCGGCCCACACCTTGCATTTTTATTGCTTTTCTTTTTGTCTAAATTCCCTTCCTTTATCCAGCAAACTCCTACTCATCCTCCAAGGCCCAGATCAAATACATTCTCCCAGTCATTTCCTCTCTGCCCCTTAGACAAAGTGAATCCTCCTTCCTCCGGACTCCCACAGCCCTTTGCACATGTCCTCAGGGCTCCTTCATCCAGCAGCTGCTCACTGAGTACCCACTACCGCCTGGCACGGTTCTAGGGGCTACAGCATGGCCAAAGTGAGCTCCCGCCCCCGGGCGGGGTCCTGCCTCACCTCCCCCTCATTTCGCATGCCCAGCACCCTCTGGTCCTCTGCACGTCACTGGAGGAACAGAGAAAGGGATGGGCCCTGGAGAAAGTGGGTCACAGCTGACCCAGGTAAAGCCCAAGGCAGGCCTGGGGCTTCGAGTCATGCTTTGCGGAGGCCGCGGCTGCTAAGGCTCTGGGAGACGTCACAGCCTCCCCAGTCCTCCTGCAGCTGGCCTCTGGGAACACACAGCCACGTGGGCCTGACGCCGGCTCTCCGGGGTTCACGAGGAGAGGCCCTGGCCGCTCTCAGTGGTAAAGGGGCGCCCACCGCTCTCTGGGTGCCGGGTCCCCGGAGGGGCCTGTTGAGCAACAGGAGCACAGGCAGTGGCCCGCAGCCCATTCCCGACCTCTCCACTGCGAGGCCTGGAGCAAGTCACTGGACGACCTCATCTGAAATAGGGGGCTGGGCGGTCACAGGGTGAGGACTAGTGAGAAAGTCAACAGCAGGTAGAGCTTGCTGGGCACCCCAGGCCGAGCAACCAGAGACGAGGACGAAGAGGACGAAGAGGATGGTGAGGAAGGTGGCTGCTGGGACCCGGGTCCTGCCTGCAGGGGCGAATGAACGGGGGTCTTACTTTTCCAGGCCTCCATCCTCCAGGTTCCGGTACTCCGCGTTGGTCCAGGTAGAAAACTTCTCTAGAATATAGGCAGCCAGCCCCACGGGAGAGTCGTTCAGGGCACAGCCTGGCATGGGAAGGAGCAAGGTGTGACTCAGGCCTGGGGACCAGGGGCCAGCCCCGCAGCGGGGCGCTGTGGCAGGGAGCCCGCGTGCCGGCACAGTCCCGCCCGACTCTGGCTGCTCACACACTGCACGGCCTCCGCCCTCCGCCCGGGCACCCGCGTCTGATCAACAGGGACGCCACCTCCTGCCAGCTCGGGCTTCATGCGCTATATGTGCAGCTGCCTTCAAAGCCAAGTGTCTGTCACCTGGGGCTGGTGAAGTCCAAATGAGAAGTATATGTGCAGGCTGTTTCTAAAAAGGTGGGGATTTCAGTCTATATCCTCTGAAAAATGAGAAACAACCTAAAAGCCCAAAATAGAGGATCAGTGACAAACAAATACTGGTACACCCATAAGCTAAAATACTCTGTCGTCAATAAAAAATGGCTGGGGCAACAGCATCAATGAATCTGCAAACACGATGTTGAGCAAAGGAATCCAGGCTCGAGAGGCCAGTCAGAGAACACGTAGAAACAGGCGAAGCCCATCTGTCTGTCCCAAGCCAGGAGGGCGGCTGCCCTTACGGGGGAAGAGGCACAAAGGGCCATCTGGGGTGTCGGGCGTGCTGGTAACGAGGGTATTTCACTTGTGGAAATTCACCCATCAAAATGTTAGCAAGCCCTTCTGAAGGAGGGCTGTGGGGAGGGAGGAGAGGCTGTAGGTGCCTTGTATACAGCTCTTGGTGTTTTTAGACTTTTTGACAATGAGCGTGCATTTTATAGTCAGAGAAAAAAACTTGGGTTTTTTTTTTTTTTTTGAGCTGGGCAGATCTTTTCTATTGTTATTTTAAATTTAAAAAGTTTTAAATTATGGGTACATAATAGATGCATATATATTATAGGGTACGTGTGATGATCTGATACAAGCACACAATCTGATACTCATCGAATCAGGGTATTGGGGTATCCATCACCTCAAGCATTGATTATTTCTTTGTGTTAGGAACATTCCAATTCCACTCTTTGAGTTATTTTAAAGTGTACCCTAACTTATTATGGACTCTAGTCACTCCGTTGTGAAAATACTTGGTTTCATGAAGTGTTATTATGTTCACGAGCTGCCTCAAGTGTGTGAGCATGAAGCCCTCCACACAGGCAAAATGATCTCGGGCGTCCGTGATGAGACTGGGGAGTCACCTGGTGGACCCTTCCAGAGTCACTGATCCCACACAGGTCCCACCTTCCTCATCTGCGAGCTGCCTTACAGCTTTGCGAACTATAAAAAGCCGACAGTGACGCGCCAGATACCTGCTCACAGAGAAGCGAGTGAATTTAGTCCGCTGGCAATTTAACTGGCTATTACTCTGTGGACTTTGAGGAATTTTGCATCTATCAGCAAATTATTTTCAGTGTTCCTAATTGTTTTCAAACTGTTTGTGACTTTTAACATATTACTAGTTCCTTTTTGAATTAATGAGTTAAATAAAATATTAGACAATTATTCATTTTATATTCATATGAGAATCATGATTTTATATATATATATATATATATATTTTTTTTTTTTTTGAGACAGAGTCTCGCTTTGTTGCCCAGGCTAGAGTGAGTGCCGTGGCGTCAGCCTAGCTCACAGCAACCTCAAACTCCTGGGCTCAAGCAATCCTTCTGCCTCAGCCTCCCGAGTAGCTGGGACTACAGGCATGCGCCACCATGCCCAGCTAATTTTTTCTATATATATTAGTTGGCCAATTAATTTCTTTCTATTTTTAGTAGAGACGGGGTCTTGCTCTTGCTCAGGCTGGTTTCGAACTCCTGACCTTGAGCAATCCACCTGCCTCAGCCTCCCAGAGTGCTAGGATTACAGGCGTGAGCCACCGCGCCCGGCCGATTTTATATATTTTTTAAATTATCTTTTAACAGGACCCTGGTGGCAGAAACGATTGTGGGGCCCTCCCTCACTGCTATGGGGAACTTGTCCCTGGGCTCTGGGCCACCCTGTCCCCTTCCCCTGCAGCCCCCAGGCTTCCTCCTGCCCCCACCCGCTCCATCCCTCTGCTTCTCAGCCTAGGACTCAGGCTCAGGGGCCAACGTCAGCTAAACAGAGCTGCTGGATTGGCCTGGGAATTTGATGACTGTCCATAAACTTGCTTCTATGGGAAAATGCACTTTAAAGATCAAAAGAGTTCAGAGTTTACAAGGGGCTTCCTCCTGTGAGCAGTGTCCCTGGGGGCGGTGAGGTCCCCTGCCCTTGTCCCCGCCAGTAGAGAAGGAAGGCGCAGCAGGCTGCCCAGGTGTGCTCACCCACGGTGTCGGGCTTGGTGCACTGGATGTGCATGTAGCCGCTCTCCCTCATTATGCTGTAGAGGAACTTCTCCTTGAAGGGGTACATCAGCTCCATATCCCTCTCGGTGTAGCCAAAAAGTCCCCCGAAACGCCGTCCCAGGAGAAGAGTCAGGGTGAAGGAATTTCTTAAGATCAGAGCCATGTTCAAGTGCAGGCCTTTCACGTGGCTGAGGGCAGACAGACGGCCCAGGTGAGGAGGGCTGGTGCCAAGCGTGCTGCCAGCCTCGCTCAGCACCTGTCCCTCTGGGGGCCTCAGGAGTTGGAGGAGGGAGGTTGGGGGGTGAAATACAGTTCCTATAAAGTTCCAGTCGGGCCTCTCCTAGAGCTCGGCCCATCAGGAAAGTCTAATCCCTGACCTCTCACAGGCCTCTTGACTTCGGCACCTGGCCCAGAGTCGCCATCCCGTGTCACACCAAACGGGGGATCCGAGTCCATGAGCCCGAAGCACAGCTGATGACAAGGGACAGGGGACCTCCCTCCTCTCCCTGGGCGGCCTGTGGCCCGCCCTGCACAGAGATCCACCTCTTAGAGGCTGTACACACAGGCACACACCTGAAAGTGCCCTCACCTGGGCACCAGCTGGGCCATGTTGGTGCAGATCAGGGCGCCCCAGTCGCCGCCTTGAATATAGAATTCCTGGAAGCCCAGCCGCAGCATCAGCTTGTAAAAGATCCTGGCAGTGGCCACCGAATCGAACCCTGGTCATGCAGGGGAAAGAGCGGAGTCTCAGCCAAGCCGCTCGGGGGGCTCTCGGAGCGGGGCAGTCTGGGGTTCAGACGCGGGCCTGCCCCTGGCCGCCGAGCAGCCCTCCCCCGCCACCCCTCAGCCTGCTCTCCCGCCCGCCCGGAGAGCCCGTGGGCCGCCCGCGCCGCCCAGGCAGCCCGCACCCTTCTTGGAGGATGCCTCTGAGAAGCCGTAGCCAGGAATGGAAGGGCAGATGACTTCGAAAACGTGCTCGTCGCTCAGGCCGTGGTTCTTGGGGTCGGTCAGGAACGGGATGATCTTGTAAAACTCGTAGAAAGAGCCGGGCCAGCCGTGCACCATCAGCAAGGGCCTCGCGCTGCGGCCCGCGGGCAGCTGGGGCGGCTTCACGTGGATGAAGTGGATGTCCAGCCCTGGGGACAGAGCGGTCAGGGTTGGGGGACAGGGTCCGAGGCTGGCAGCCGGCAGTCCCGAATCGGCCCCGAGGGTATGTGGTCAGACTGCGAGCCAGGGCCCGGCCCGGATCGGCCACATCGTGACAGCCGGCACTGGCAGGTGCCCACCGTGCTCTAGCCACGCAGGTGTCCTTGCTCAGCCTTCACAGCCTCCCCGCAAGGAGCTACTGCCGTCACCTCCCAGCCACCGCAGGGCACATGCGCTGAGGGCAGGGCCAGGTGCTGCTGGGTTTTCAGAGCCCAAACGCTTTCCAGCTCACAGCGGGGCTTCAAGAAACATGCATTCAATGACTTAAAAATCAGGGAGTGGCGGGAAGCCCTACATATTTAGCGAGAGAGGGCTAATCAAGCAGCTTAGAGTTCGACAGCATACCGCAACACGATGCAGCCATTTAAAATGACAGTGTAGACGTGTATTTCTTTAACCTGGATCAGTAGCCATTGCTGGTGGCAAAAGCAAATTGCCAAATCGTGCTCACGGTGTGATCCAACTTTTGTAAACTGTCACATGTATGCGTACACTGTATTTATACTACGTATGTGTGCGCTTTAAAAGTCTGGGAGGATAAACTCCAAAAATGAGTAGCAGAAGCAGTAGAAGCCAGTGCTTTTACTTTCTTCTTTGTGGTATATATACTTTCTAATTTTTCTATGACAAGCATATATTAAATACATAACTTCTTCATACACGTTGACAAAACATTTGTCTTTTGCTAATTATAAAACATAACTCTTTTTAAGTGGAGGACTTTTTTTTAGTACAGTGCTGGGAACATCCTCATAGCCAAGGCAGGTGAAGGGCCTGCGTCTCCTCCAGACTGCCTTGGGCCTCTGCCTTGCATCCAGAGAGAGCAGGCCCTCCCTGGCGGGCGGCCCGGAGCACCTGGGCGGCCACAGCACTCGCAGCCCAGGCTAGGAGGCTGCTGCCACGCCCGAGCCCTCCACCAGGGGGCCGATGTTCTGTTCTGTGGTTAATCCATTACACAAATAATGCGTGTTTACTGCAGAAAACTTACAAGGCACAGATAAACCAAAGGGGGGAATCACATGTCATCCCACTATGTGAAGAGAACACTGTGCAGTCTATCCAGATTTTCTTTTAAATAAACTTTATTTTGGGCCACGCACAGTGGCTCATGTCTGTAGTACCAGCTAGTTGGGAGGCTGAGGCAGGAGGATCACTTGAGCCCAGGAGTTTGAGGCTGCAGTGAGCTATGATAGCGCCACTGCACTCCAGACTGGGCAACAGAGTCAAAAAAACCCAAAAACCCAAACAAAACAGAACCCCTTTATTTTGGAACAGTTTTAGATTTACTAAAACATTGCAGAGATGGTACAGAAAGCTCTCATATGCCTCATACCCCGTTTCCTCCATTCTTAACATTTTATGTCAATATGGTCCATTTGTTACAATTAATGAACCAGTATTGCTACATTATTAACTATAAAGTCTAGACTTTATTCAGATTTCCTTGGTTTTTAAAATTTTACTGTGGTAAGAACACTTAATATGAGATCTACCCTTTTAACAGACTTTTAAGTGCACAGTACCACATTAACTATATGCACTATGTTGTGAAGCACATCTCCAGAATTTACTCATCTGGCATAACTGAAACTTTTTTTTAGATAGTCTTGTTCTGTTGCCCGTGTTAGAGTGCCGTGGCATCAGCCTAGCTCACAGCAACCTCAAACTCCTGGGCTCAAGTGATCCTCCTGCCTCAGCCTTCTGAGGAGCTGGGACTACAGGTGTGTACTACCATGCCCGGCTAATTTTTTCTATTTTTTAAAAGAGACGGGGTCTTGCTCTTGCTCAGGCTGGTCTCAAACTCCTGACCTCAAGTGATCCTCCCGCCTTGCCCTCCCAGAGTGCCAGGATTACAGGTATGAGCCACCTTGCCTGCCTGGCCTGAAACTTTATTTTTTATTTATTAATTTAGAAATAAGGTCTCCCTCCCTCTGTTGCCCAGGCTAGTCTCAAACTCCTGGGCTCAACTGATCCTCCTGCCTCAGCCTCCCAAGTAGCAGGGACAATACATGTGGACCACACACCCAGCTCACACTTGAAACTTTACACGTGTTGATCAGCAATGCTCCGTTTCCCCTATTTCCAGCCCCTGACAGCCACCGTTCTACTTTCTGCTTCTGTGAGTCTATCTTAGATTCCTCGTGCAGCCGGCACCCTGCAAGCTTTGTCTCTCTGTGTTTGGCTTGTTTCCCTCAGCATAATGTCCTCAAGCTTCATCCATGCTGCCTCATATTGCAGGATTTCCTCCCTATTTAAGGCTGAATGATATTGGTATATACACACAGTGGCATATATTCAGATTTCCTTAGTGTTTGCCTAATGCTCATTTTCTGCCCCAGGATCCCATCCAGAATAGCACATTACATGCAGTTGTCCTGTCTCCTTAGGCTCCTCTTGGCTGTGACAGTTCACACTTTTAAAAAAGACTCAGAGAATATAACTTTTAACAAAAATAGAACCCTACATACATTCTATTTTCAAACCTAACTTTCCTCCACTTAACAATATATCCTGGATGTCCCTCTATGTTACTAAATTTGCTCCTATTCTAAAGTTTATTTTAGTAGGTAATCTTACCGCCTTTGGAACACACTGCATGATGTGAGATTATTTTTAATTCAAATTCTACCACATCGTCTGTGTTTAAAATTAGGAAAAAAAATACACACGTACATATGCGCTGGCCAGAGTCCAGGAGGCAGGTAGGCTCAGGAAGCCAAAGCTGGGCTGGGGTGGGGGCAGAGGGTGTCATGGCCAAGGGTAAAGGAGAAAGGGCCACACTGGGAGTAGTCTGGGGAACTGGGGCCCCAAGCGATCCCCTCCTCCTCTCTGGACGTGCTGGGCTGGACCTGCCTAGGGGCTGCTGAAGCCCTTGCAAGCTCTTGGGCTCTCTGGGAATAGAGACTGTCTCCCCGATGGGAGGCCAGGACTTGGCTAGATCTCACAGAAAGAGCAGGAGAGGGGCAGGAGCTACTGTTTGGGAGACCGAACAGGGAGGCCACTAGGGATGAGGACAGAGCCCTGGGATAAGGGTAAGAGGGTGGGCTGTGAGAAGCCAGGAGCACAGGGGTCAGAGCAGGGACAGAGGCCCTGAAAAGGCCCAACATGTGGAGGGATGGACAGCAGAAAACAGACTGCAGGGGGTAGGAGGCCTTCTTGGACGGACCCAGGCAGGGAGCCCAGGAAGAGAGGCACACGGAAGGTTTGCCGGGCCAGGGACCAGAGGCTGCTCGCTCAGCACTGCGGGCTCTGGGCGGAGAACGTGCGGATGCCAGCCCAGTGAAGGCTCCGAGCTGCAAGGACCACGGCCAGGAACAGACGCCAGCCCTGGGCGTGCGCCAGAACCACACGGGGATTAAGTCTGTGATGAACTCAGTGCCGGACGTTGCCCCTGTGGAGCCTTGTTCCCTGGGGGACGTTTTGTGCTGTGAACACCAGCGTCCTGAGGAACCCCGAGATGGTCCAGTGGGCTAAGGCTTTGGCCTCAAGCTTGCGGCCTCCGGGAGGGAAACAGCCCTTTCCTGCCTCCGGCCTCTAGGTCTTTGAACATGCTGTTGCCTCCTCCTGTGACACCTTCCCCACACACTTGGCAAACTCCTACTCATTTCAGCTTGGACGCCACCTCCTCCAGGAAGCCTTCCCTCACACTTGAAGGAAGAATGTGGGGCTCACAAAGCTCCCAGAGCCTCCTCCCTCATAGCAGCCCTCACCATGTGTGTCACTGCCCTGGGGAGCCGTGAGCATGCAGGCAGGAGCCCTGTCCCCTCTGTGTGTCCCCAGCCCCAGCAGAATGCCTGGGCACAGGCGGTGCCCTGTCAACATCTGCTGGATGGCACTGAAGGGCTGGGACGGCAGAGGGTCCCAGTCAAACTCAAGGACACTAGGCGATCTGGAAGCTTTGGGAATGTGTGTAACGGCCTGTGTGCGATCTGGCTTGGATGAAGAGGCTCGGATCCTCCTGTGAGGCTCATAACAGAAGACACCAACATCTCCTAAAAACCACAGCAATAGGCACAAGGAGTCTAAATTTGACCTAAGCACCACTTCAGACTTTGTGTGTGTGCTGGCTGAGCCCCAGGAAGGCTCCGGTTCCAGGACACACACCCTGGGATTCTCCAATACTAAGCTTTTCTCGCAGCCATTCCCCTCAGGCCCAGGCTCCTCGCGCCCGGAGGACAAGGGCGTCTGCTGGCCAGGCTGCTCCGGGTAGGCTGCGTGCGTCCTTCCACGTGGTCCTCCCACCCTCCCGGAGAAATGGGACCGAGGCCGGGTCACCAGCTCAGGGCGGTGCTCCCCTTGCCAGGACGTGTCTGCCACCTACAGTGCAGGCACAGATGTCCCTGTGAGCTCTCCAGTGACCCGGAGGGACCCTCAGTTTCTATTTGTAAAAAAGAATATTCAGAGATTAACTTGGTTTCTAAAGTTATTCTTTTTTTTTGATTTTTTTTTTGAGACAGAGTCTCGCTTTGTTGCCCAGGCTAGAGTGAGTGCCGTGGCGTCAGCCTAGCTCACAGCAACCTCAAACTCCTGGGCTCCGGCAATCCTCCTGCCTCAGCCTCCCGAGTAGCTGGGACTACAGGCATGCGCCACCAAGCCCGGCTAATTTTTTATATATATATCAGTTGGCCAATTAATTTCTTTCTATTTATAGTAGAGACAGGGTCTCGCTCTTGCTCAGGCTGGTTTCGAACTCCTGACCTCAAGCAATCCGCCTGCTTCGGCCTCCCAGAGTGCTAGGATTACAGGCATGACCCACCGCGACCGGCCTCTAAAGTTATTCTTAAACTTACTAAACTTACACATTTAAAAGCCTAGTTCTTCAATAAGCATGTGAGTTCAGCTTACAAATCTTATACCACGTGTTTATAAATCTAGCAAATGTTAACACTCTTTGATTAATGGGTGGTTACATTTCTAAACTCACTTAATTGTGCTCCTTTAAACATTGTATAATTACAGTTTCCTTTTGTAAGAACGTTAGTTGATCTGATCTGTCTTTCACATGGTTTAAGTAATTCCTAGGATTTTAGCAAATTCTTAACTGTTACTTGAAAAGACAAAATTCTCTTAAACATAACAAATATTTAAAATTCTAAACATGCACAATTTCCTGAACATAAAAAAACAATAAGGTGGGCGCAGTGGTGCATGCCTGCAGTCCCAGCTGCTCAGGGGGCTGAGGTGGAGGAGGCCTTCAGTCCGGGAGTTCAAGGCCATAGTGCACTATGATCCTGCCTCTGGATAACCACTGCACTCCAGTCTGAGCAATGTAGAGATCTTGTATCAAAAAAAAAAAAATTAATATTATGGCGACCCACTGAATGTGAGAAAATATTTGCAAATATCTCATAAGGAATTAATATTCAGAGTATATAGAGAACTCCTAAACCTTAACAACAAAAATTTAAATTAACCTGATTCAAAAATGGATAAAGGACTTAAACAGACATTTCCCCAAGGAAGATATACAACGGGCCCCTAAGTACTATGTGAAAAAATCCTCCACATCACTAATCACTAGGAAAATGCAAATCAAAAACACAATGAAAGCCTGGTGTGGTGGCTCACGCCTATAATGCTAGCACTCTTGGGAGGCCAAGGCCAGAGGATTGAACGTCAGGAGTTTGAAACCAGCTTGAGCAAGAGCGAGACCTCGTCTCTACTATAAATGGAAAGAAATTAATTGGCCATCTAAAAATATATAGAAAAAATTAATCGGACATGGTGGCGCATGCCTGTAGTCCCAGCTACTCAGGAGGCTGAGGCAGAAGGATCACTTGAGCCCAGGAGTTTGAGGTTGCTGTGAGCTAGGCTGATGCCACGGCACTCTAGACAGGGCAACAGAGTGAGACTCTGTCTCAAAAACAAAACAAAACGAGATATTACTTCATGCCCATTAGGATAGCTATTATCAAAAAACAGAAAATAACAATGCTGGGAAGGATGGGGAGAAACAGGGACTGTTGTGCATTGTTGGTGCACAAGAGTCTCTTCTACCCTGCAAGAGTCTGGGAAGACAAAGCTGGTGCCCTGGCTGCAGGCTTCTCTCTGGCCACTGGCCAGGTGCCCACGGGAAGGGGAGAGCAATGGAGGTGTGGGCAGGGTGGCAAGGGGGTGCCTCTATGAAAACAGCATGGAGGTTCCTCAAAAAATTTTATGTTTAACATGTATGTTACTACAATTAAAAATATAATAAATGAAATTTTTAAAATTAACAGTATGGATTTGAGTCTTTTAAACATTTCCATGTTTGATTCTAAATCTTTCTGGGACTAAAAAATACTTTTCTACTAAGGAAATTGTTAGCTCCTTCCAAATGACCATAGGGTTACCTTCCCAGAAAATTCTGAAAGACACCTTCTCTTGCTGGTGAGGTTGGTGGCAACCTGTGATGCAGCTGCAGACAGACAGCACAGTTTTTCACCGGATCTTGACTAACAGGCTGAGCATCTTTGGACAGTCACAGCGCCTAGGACTCCAAGGCCTCACGGACAGGTCGAGCCGGCCGAGCCCATGCCCAGGTCTAAATCTCACTCCATCCTTCCTTCAAAGATTGCCACACCCCGGGATGCGATGCTGTAACTCTTCAATTTTTAAATGACTTATATGTTTCCTGTGTAGCTCTAAAGACCGATGAGTTTGTGGGGACTGCACTATTTTTGCATTCTGGTAAGGTTACAGTTTATGAATACATCTCAATAACCTGCAACTGGACTCTGCGTCTCCTCCCCTTGGTCTGACCGGAAGCCACATCACGCAAGAAGGCTGTTCCCATGACATGCCTCCCTCTCTGGCTGGTGTTCTAAAAACATACCTTCAATCTTAGTCTTGAAGTGAGGGTATCTGTTGAGAATATCCACCTGCTTCTTCCAGTCAAATTCATTCCGCCAGTAGGAGGTAATTTTCTTCAGATAGGTGGCATTGAAGCCATAGTGGAAGCGACTGTCTTCCAAAGGTGGGGTTAGACGGAACTTATCAATCCTCTGGTGTACGTCCTGGGCCGAAATGTGGGACCGCAAGGAGAGACGGGTGGTGAGGCAGAGCACATGACAAAGTTTGTTTCCAGAAAAAGAGAGCAAACTCTGCAGCCACAAGACACTGCGCTATAGCAGGGCAAAGTGGTTTCCCTCATCATTGGCTACTCCCTCAGCCTACATGATCTTCACTGTAGACTTCAGATTTTCTTTTTTTTTCAAAGACAGTCTCACTCTGCTGCCTGGACTAGAGTGCTGTGGCATCAGCCTAGCTCACAGCAACCTCAAACTCCTGGGCTCAAGCAATCCTCCTGCCTCAGCCTCCCGAGTAGCTGGGACTACAGGTGTGCGCCACCACGCCCGGCTAATTTTTTCTAGTTTTAGTTTTTTAGCTGTCTGACTAATTTCTTTCTATTTTTGGTAGAGACAGGGTCTTGCTCTTGCTCAGGCTGGTCTCAAACCCCTGACCTCAGGTGATCCTCCCGCCTCGGCCTCCCAGAGTGCTAGGATTATAGGCCTCAGCCACCTCACCCTGCCCATCTCTCATTTTTTAAATGTATAAACAATATTCATCTTTAATTTATCAAGGCTTGTATATAGCGGAGGTCAGCAAACTTTTTCTATAAAGGGCCAGAGAATAAATATTCTAGACTTTTCTAGCTGCAAAATAATGAGAAAGCAGCCACAGGTAATACACAGATGAATGGGCATGGCTGTGTTCCAATAAAGCTGTATTTATGGAACTGAAATGTGAATGGCATATAATTTTCACATGTCATTAAATATTACTATTCTTTTGATTTTTTTTCCTAACCATTTAAGAATGTAAAAACCATTTTGGGGATGGGAGCTATGCAAGACAGGTGGCAGAGGTACCTTTGATCTTCAGGCCATGGTTTGCAGACCCCTGTTGGACATTACTGAATGACACATTATAACTCAGATGGGATAAAACTACAGACCAGGAGAGAGGGTGCAAGTCTAATGGGCATGTATCAGGCTAGAAGGCTGGGCTGATTTCTGTGGCCTCTGATGCGTATAACTGGGGCCTGCTGGGCCTTGGATAGGGGAAAAGGGAGGGACAGCGTGTGTGAGTTGGGCACCGCTCTCTGGAGTAACCTGCACCTGCCCAGTGGAGGCAGGGCGGACTGGAAAACTCCCAAGAGGGCCCACATCCTGAGCCCACGTCCTGCCCCCATCCCAGTCTAAGATCCAACCCTAGGCTCAGAGAAACCACAGAAGGGCTTCCCCGCCTGCCCGCCCAGCCGTGCCTGGAACCAGGTGTCTTACCTTGATCTCCTCATCCGACGTTTCCACCTTGAAGGGGCGGATGCTCTCGTCCTCCCTGGCAGCAGGCTTCGCACCCGGTCCCCACCACCCATCTTCGAGTGGCAGAGTTTCCTCCTTGTCCCGGGAGATGAACCAGTAGATGACAAAGCCCAGCACAGAGGCGAGCAGAATTTCCAGCCACATGGCTCCTGCAAGATGAGGGACAGGCCGTGAGCCACAGAGACCACTTAGCCAGGCCTGCACACCCGGCAGAGACTCCGGTTCCCAACCTCTCCCTCCCAATCCCTGATTTTATTTACATCTGACCTAAATGTATATATATATGGCATAGAAAAATTGGAAAGCAATAGAAAAGGAGACAAAATCACCCACAATCCTACTAAGCCTGGGAATCCATCACTCAGACTGGGACCGTAGGAACTCGGGGGGGCGTCTGCACGGCGCCGGGTGGGGGGTGGGGCTGCATTTCTGAGGCCCCGTGTTCTGCACGGGCCTTCTGCACGGGGCTGCTGGAAGGCTCCTCCACAGGAGGCGGAGCGGCTTTCCTGGGCGGAGGGAGCTCTGCTTCTCTTGGGGAGGGCCTGTGCCCAGGGTCCCCAAAGGGGCAGGGGGGGCCCGCAGTGCTGGGAGGTCAAGCTCAGCGCGAAGGAGCCCAACCACAGCCACGCATCTTAGCTGTGCCTGTGAGGCTTTATTGAAATACAATCCACACGCCACACAATCCACCCATGCAAAGTGTGCAATCCAGTGGTTTTGGGGGTATTCACGGAGTTGTGCAGCCAGCACCACAGCCAGCGTGAGGACATTTTCCTCAGCACAGAGAGAAACCCTGTGCCCCGTAGCTATCACTCCTCACCCCTCTCCTCGCCAGGGCCCCATGCAGCCGCTAGTCCACTTTCTGTCTCTAGAGATGGACGGCCTGTTACGTTTCACATGAACTCGTCTGTTTTGATCCCCATGGGTCTGGCGCCCACGTCTGTTTTTCTGAGAGGGAAGGGCTTAGTCTCAGCAAGGCAGTATCAGGGAGTCACCAGCCAGCGCTGCTGCCTAACACCCGCCTCGCCTGTTCCCAGGGACGGACCCACAGATCGCTCGTGTGTGCGCTCTGCCCTGCCACAAGCACGGGCAGCCGAGGACGAGAGGGCATCCTGTCTGAGCCGAGGCCCCAGCAGACCACTCCCCAGCACCAGCCCTGACTTCGTCTCCAAAACCCACAGCCGGAGGAGGGCCATGTGTACCTCCCTTTGCTACGTGTTAGATGTTGGGGACTCTGCTGCAGGTTTGCTCCCGTCAAGAGCTGCTCCTTGGCCGGGCGAGGTGGCTCACGCCTGTAATCCTAGCACTCTGGGAGGCCGAGGCAGGAGGATTGCTTGAGCCTAGGAGTCTAAGGTCACAGAGAGCTAGGATGACACCACTGCCCTCTACCTGGGGAGATAGAGCCTGCACCTCTAAGCTGAGAACTGGGCCACCAGAGCCGTGCTGGAAATGCGCGTCCACAGTGGTCCAGCAAAGGAGCTCCGCAACAGAGACGGGCAGGGGTGTGTGACGGTTCCCACCCCCGTCCCACAGCCCGGCAGAAACCCAGTGAGGACAACCGCTCAGTAATCCTGTCTGCCCAGCTTCCACGCTCAGTCTCTGGAGCCGTCTCTGATTCTTCCTCCACCTCCGTCCACCTCCAGGCCCTGATGCCGCTCAGACTCAGCCTCCTGCATGCCGGGCCCTCCCCCGGACCAGAGCCCCCAGCACCCCACGCCGACATCGCCACGGCAGCTTTCAAGGGAGGCAGCCCGGTCTCCCATCTCTCAAAGTCAGCAGCGCACGTCTTAGAAGCCCCTGCAGCCTTCTCCCTGGAGCCCACACCCAGCGTACCCACCTCTGAACTTCCAACACAGCGTCCTCATCGGGCTGTGAAACTCTGAAGTGGCCCAAAGTCTCCACGTTTACCGAAGGTCTGCGACGCACGGGGGACACAGCATGGGGTGTGGGCGTGCACTGTGTCTCCAGCCAAGGCAAGCCGTGGCTCTCATGTTTCAATGCCCAGCACAAGAGTGCCTGCCCCAAGTCCCCTGTGCGTGTCGGCTGACCAGATGGGTGGCCAGGACCAGCACTCCCACAGTTAACATGAAGCAAGGGACAGCTGGGGATGAATGCTCTAAGGTATTCAGAGAAGAAAACGTACACAGGCTCTTCCATTTCTAGAAAGACCCTATCTCCCTGGCACGAAACCCTGGCCTTTGAGAAGATGGTATGGAAGGCAGGACTAGGGTTAGGGACAGAGGGCACATGTGGAGCGTGTGGGAGGAGGCGCAAGGCAGAGGGCAGAGCTGCCCAACAGCAGGAGCAGATGGGCACAGCTCACCCGGCAGGCAGACCCCACCACAGTGAACCGGAGCTCGGGAAGGCGGGGACCGTGTCCCTCCCAGTCACCACCCGAGCCCCAGGCAGTGCCCGGGCACGGCCAGGCACCCCGCCATCTATGCCAGCTGCGTGCGTGCTGGAAGCAGATAAGACAGACTCTGCACGACATCAAGGGAGCTGCGAGCACAGTGAGCAATTAAGAGCGCTCCACCGTCCAGGTGAGCTGACAAGCCACCCTCCTTACCTGACTTCAACACAGAGACAGCGTCGTCACTTCCCTCTGGGATATAAATGACCAATTTTCCCCTTTCTGTGCGGACCGATCCCAGTGCTCTCACCGCCCCCCAGGGCTGCCTGTTCTCGCCCGCAGTCGCCGCCTCGGGAGCAGAGCTGCGGAGCTCCCCACCCAGGGACGGCTAGGCGCCTCTGGGACAGGCAGGGGACTGCAAGCACCGTCCCCGCCCCTGCAGCCCTTTCAGAGCTCAGACCTGCCGACTCAGCTGGTCCGGTGTGTGCGCAGCGCGGTTATCTGCCCTGGACTTCGCACAGCACGCCGAACCACGCTGACCCCAGACAGCGCTGAAGAGATCGGTGCCCGGGTGCCACCTGAGCAAAGAGAACCCAGGACAAGGGGCACTATGATGGCCCTGCCAGCACCCCCCGGAGCATCACCCAGGAAGAGGAGGGCTGCACCAGCCCTGCCCCGGGCGAGCAGTGAGCAGGCCGAGCCACCACACATGGAAGCTGGAAAGAACCCAGCAGCGTCGGGGCCAAACTCCTCACTTCACAGCTGGGAAACCGAGAGGGACTCGCCCTGGGCCGCGCAGCCAGGGGCGGGATACCCGGAATGAAGGGAAAAGGAGTCACTGTACTCCTTGTCCTCCATCATCCCTGCTCTAGGCCGGGTCTCTCACCCCGCACCTGACATTTTGGATGCGCAATTCTCCGTCGCGTCCTGTGCACGGGGAGCTTCGCCGCACCCCTGGCCTGCACCCACCGCACGCCAGTGTGCCCTCCCTCCCCGTTCTGACCACCGGAAACGCCTCCAGACGTTGCCCAGTACCCCCTGCGCGGGAGGCTGCCCTCGCTTGAGAACCAGTGCTCTAGATTGGGGGCTCGACTTTCAGGTGAGTCAGAGTCACCGGGGAGCTTGTTAAACCCGGAGGTTCTGATTCAGGAGTCCTGTGTGGCCAGAGAATCTCCATTTCTAGCAAGTTCCCAGGTGTCGCTGGAGCTGCGGGTCTGGGGCCACGCCTGGAGAAGCCCTGCTCTAGACTGGAGCATGACAAGCCCCGGGAAGGCTGGGCTGTCGCTCCTGCACCCCGGCGTGTGCCAGGGCCGCAGCTCTGCTCCGGCAGACGCGGGCTGAACGGACAGCTGTTGGGCGGACGCTTGTGCCTGGGGCACGAGGACTGTGGCCTTTCAGCAGGATCAAGAGGAAAGGCAGGGACAGCTGCACCTCCCAGACTCCCAGAGCCTCTCTCTGCCCACAGACGGCGAGCTGGCCCCACACAGGAAGCCGGATGCCCAAGTCGGATGCCCCATGGGGAGGGTGGATGCCACGGCCTGGACTCGCGGGGTGCAGGCTCCCACCAGAAATGTGAAATAAATGCGGTGCCTGCTGTCCCCCAGCCAGGCCTGCGAAAAGCTCAGTAGCCCAACCTCACGTTTTACCAGCTCTCTTTTCCCAGGAGGGGCACACGGAGCTCTCATGACCTCCCTCACTGCCTGCGAGCTCTCGTCTACACTCCCCGCCAGACACGCTCTGGGGCCTAACTGCGGCCACACTGGGCAGCTTTCTCTCCCCGCCAAACAGACCTCCAGAGCCTGGGACACCCTCCATCTTCCCCTGCCCTGCGTGGGCTCGCGTCCAAGGGGGACAGGCCACCGTCAGGGAGGCTTCCTCGGGGCACTGCTCTGAGCACTTTGTGTCCTTTAACTCATCCGACCCTTACAATATCCCCGGTTTACAGGCGAGAAAACTAAGGCTGAATCTCTTGTCCGAGGTCAAGCTGCTAGCGGGTGGGGGCGAGCAGCAGGATTCAACCCAGGTGCCACGGCCCCTCTGCACGCGTCCCCAGGCCACTGCTGGGGACGGTTTCCCTGCGCAATGAAACCGTGTGCGCCTTGAACGTGGGGATTACGTCCTTTTCCGACCTACATCCCCTCTGCCTTGTTTATAAAAGATGTTTGACAAATCACAGGCTTGAATTCTGGAACAGCCAGGCCCCCCGTGACAAAGACAGAGCAGCTGGGGCTTAGGGGACTAAATGACTCTGCTCAAGGTCGCTGGGGTTACTGGCATCTTCCCGTTGCTCCCCTGGCTGGCTGCCATGGGTCCACACAGGGCTGCTTGCTGCCAGCGCGTGACAGGACGGCAGGGGCAGGGGACATCTGAGAGCTCAGCAAGAAGCCGGGCAGCGGTACTGCGGCTCTCACATCGCCTGCCCTGCAGGTGCCTTTCCCAACCTTCCCCTCTGCCGGCCGGCCGCAGCCTTCCGTCTCCTCTCTCCCCCACTGCTCCGAGCACAGTGCTCAGTACACACAGGTGCTCGCTGTCTGCACCGTCACAAACTGGAACTGGGTGGCCGGGATTTCGGTTTTGCTGCCTCAGGCCGGTGGGCCTCAGTCTAGCCACAAGGACCCAGGTAAGACATCTCCCTTTAGGGTGGAAGGGGTGTGCGCAGGGTACCATTTAAACTGGAGGCGAGGTACCATTCCTAGGGAGAAACAGGATCAATCTCAGTGTCGCAGGAGATTTTCATACAGACACTCCGGAAAACTGCCTGGCATGCCCGCTAAAACCCGACACATACACACTCTGTGACTC